TCGTTATTTCTATCGGTGTTATCCTAATTGCCTACGTCAGCACTAAACGTAAGTGAAGTAAAATTTTATTTATGCTAACTGATGCTGTGAGCATAGCCTGCGTTGCTGGCGGTCTGCGGTTTAGGGTATCGGGGAAAAAATGAAAGGTCTTTCATTTTCCTCTCCACCCCCAAAACCGCGGGCCGCTAGCAACGTAAGCTATTGTAAGCATTTATTCCTGTGTTTATTACTTGTACTTCTATATATTTGAAGTATTGACTGCTTCACATAATATCAACTTTTTGGAACGCCTGAAGCACTTCCCTTTCCCGTGTTCCGAGCGTTCTTGACATATTCCAGTTACTTAGGACTAATTTGGTAAACTCAGAGTAATTTGTGATGACGTATGGAATGCACATAACTATTCCAACACTTCATAATACAAAATGATGCTATGTAAGCAGCTTTGAAATTTCTGCATGTAAAATTTTGGATCAGCGTTTTCTTCAACGAATACGGTTAAAATTGTTTAGTACCATTTGCCTTAGTATATGAAATGGTTTGCGAGGAGCTTCTCCAATTATCGTGTATGGACACACATTTGTAAATGAAAACTTGTCAAACTGCTTCATTGTTAACTGTTCTCGCTGCTTTCTGGTTCAATTGTCCACTTTCAGACTCATTCTTGCTTCCGAAGAAGAAGTTTTGGTGAAGTTCAGTCGAGGCAATTTTGTTTGTTTGTACAAAACGTTTCTGGAATATTTCTACGTACATGTAGCTTCTTTAGATTCGCGAAATAACAAATGCAAACAAGCGCGGTGAATTTCCAGGAATTAAAATTCTGCTACTGAGCGGAGCACCAGATAGAGCAGTAACCCAAAGCACCAGCCATATGAGACCCAAACAGGCTACTTGGAAACAAATTTACTTGTGCAATGGTACAGTATGTTGATGATCTAATCAATGGTTTCCTAAACATGTTTGGAAATTTGGAAGACAAAAGATAGAAAACATTTTCCCACAAGTAAGTAGGCAGCTGTTTTTTAATTAGATAAGGAATGTTTGATTTGCAGTGTGTGCAAGAGCTGCTGCATAGGCACTCATCATTATATGCATGCGCAACAAATACAAATAAGTGAAACTGCTGTAGTATTACGAACATTTCCCGTCGGATTTTCTTATATCTGAGATGATCCATCGAGAACACCTCTCTAAACGTTTGATTGTGAAATTAGCACGAACTAATGATTGAAACAACCAAAAGTAACTTCCTCTGAATCCTGAAATCGTCGATAACCCAAGGCAAAAGAAAATTAGTCTCTTCCTTCGAGTTTTCGTTCTCATAGATAGGTCAATCATGAAAAGATAAAAGGGGTAAGTTTTTAAAGAAACTGTGGTGCGGCGTATTTGAAAATTTGACTGAGAAAACACTAGCCACCGTAAAGAGTTTCTGCGGCTGAAGTTTCGAGCCTTCATTTATTCGCTCATACGAAGGGCTGTCGCTTGTAATGTCAACTTCAGAAATTCTATTCGGTGGCCAATTTATAAATTTATAAAAGCAAAAGCAATAAATAATAAATAATAATAAAAGCAATTTTAATTTGCTCGAATAGGTAAACTGATATAGACTGATTCAAAATCATATTAATTACAATATATGATCGATAGTCCTGCTCTGTAACTGCTTTCTGTAAGTCGTTTTTTTGAGTAATACTGTAACTACTTTCAAGTGTTATGTAATAATAGCAATCCAAACATACGCAGTTAGAAAGTTACTTAAAAAGCAAAATTAGTCTGTTATTTATGGATACTAATGATTGCGGAAGTAATTCAACGCTTCGCTGGTACTTTACCATATACTCGACAGTATTACTGCTTCTGCTTTCTCTGAAACCTAAATTTGGATGATTGACTTGCTTGAGGTTGAAGAGTCCATCGTATACACATATACAGTAGTTTCGCCTGGCATACGCAATCTATTACATTAATAGATCTGCATACATTTTTTTACTCGGGTAATCAAATCAAAGTATTTTAAAACTATTACACGAAACGGAAATACATCTTCACTTTCGACGAAGCATGTGCTGGAACACGGAAAAAAAACAATGACTTAATGAAAAATTCATCTTTTCTAGGAAAAGTGTGCTTAATCAAATTCTTTTCTGCGAAAATAGTTCAGAAACGTCATCGCTTCACAGTTCTCAGACGTTCGCTAGACGAAGTTAATAAGCAGGTTTTCTCTTTACTTGCTCCTGTATGAATAAGTTACCAAATTTTGCACACAGCAGCTTGCTGAAAGTTACCTTGAGATAGCGAAGCAACGGAGACTAGATGTTATAACAGGCTACTGGCGCATTGCCATATTAGGGCAATGGACTAGATGTCGAGTTTCTATTGGCTGTTGTTTAATAAAGAGCTAAAGCTTTTGAATTCTGAGAAATATGAAATCGACCTCACTCTTTACTTGCTTTCGCTGCGGCCGATTTTCATTAAAATTGGATCTTCACCGTGTTAACTTGAGCTAGAGAATCTTATGCATCACTCCAGTCCGCTAGGAGCCAAGCAGAGGAGGTTCGTCTGTAGATTTGATTTGCTTCCGGGTTTAAAATGCAAGCTGATTACTTGCTTCCGTCTAATAGCCAGTGCGTTAAGTTATATTCGAGAAAACGAAATCTTACCAACAAGAAACCAAAGTTACCTGGTTATTACCTTAGAAAATTTCTTACTATCCGGAGTCTAGTTGGACTAATAGATTATCTTTAACTGTAACTACAAATCGTCACAGTAGTTGGATCTAATAGTAGTTGGATCTTCACCGTGTTAACTTGAGCTAGAGAATCTTATGCATCACTCCAGTCCGCTAGGAGCCAAGTAGAGGAGGTTCGTCTGTAGATTTGATTTGCTTCCGGGTTTAAAATGCAAGCTGATTACTTGCTTCTGTCTAATAGCCAGTGCGTTAAGTTATATTCGAGAAAACGAAATCTTACCAACAAGAAACCAAAGTTACCTGGTTATTACCTTAGAAAATTTCTTACTATCCGGAGTCTAGTTGGACTAATAGATTATCTTTAACTGTAACTACAAATCGTCACAGTAGTTGGATCTAATAGTAGTTGGATCTTCACCGTGTTAACTTGAGCTAGAGAATCTTATGCATCACTCCAGTCCGCTAGGAGCCAAGTAGAGGAGGTTCGTCTGTAGATTTGATTTGCTTCCGGGTTTAAAATGCAAGCTGATTACTTGCTTCTGTCTAATAGCCAGTGCGTTAAGTTATATTCGAGAAAACGAAATCTTACCAACAAGAAACCAAAGTTACCTGGTTATTACCTTAGAAAATCTTTTACTATCCGGAGTCTAGTTGGACTAATAGATTATCTTTAACTGTAACTACAAATCGTCACAGTAGTTACGCAGGTAGCTTTTGCAAAGGGGATAACCCCCAAATACTTCTTATTGACAGCGTGACCTAGGGGCTACTGGAAAGGTTTTTAATTCTGCTCAGTAAGCTCGGTCCAGTTAAGATTATGGCGTACTTTTTCACATTAGTTATCTTCGGTGCTTCGTTTCGTCACGCAAGGCTTCCTCTGGAAAGAGTTAAGACACAGCAAGTTATAACAACAATTAACTCATCTGCGAAGGCAACTATTGTACGTGTTTTAGTGTTCTTCGTGAAAATATACAATCAAGAATCACGGAAACGATTTAAGAACATTACATTTCTGACAAAAGAATGGACTTGCATTTCGTTACTTACTCGAGTCTGGTCTACGTTGGAAGAGAAACAGCTACTTATAGCTAGTGCATACATGTATGTCAACACATAGTATCCAGCCAAAAGTAAGCCTCACTAAAAAGGCACAACATTGTGTATGGCAGTATTTATGTTCATGCTACTCTCTGTTCGAAGCGCGTAAACTTGGTCTTAATTATGGTCCTATCTCAAATTATCCACACTTCTATTGTTTACTTCGATGATCGGCTAGTTCGGAAGCAGATACTATTCACCTTCGAGCGGCCGATGAGACAAAGTCGCGCGTCAAGAGTTTAATTTCCGAGCATTCTTCGGTATATCGAATGAAATGAACTAATTTTTTGGTATCTGTGTGGTATACACTTAAAACAATTAATCACCTCAGTGTTAGTGGAGGTGGTGGATATTTACATCGTCGCTTCGCGGCTCGGTAAACATCCACCACTATTCGCCTCTACTTCGGTGAATAACTGTTAATTAATTGAACTAGAATAGATTGTTTTGAAAAGAGAAGTGAATAATAACTTACCATTAAATATCTCGAATTATAAAATAATGCAAATAGTACGCGCGCTCTGATTGGCCATAAAACCATTTTACACGAGCGTATGTAAACACGGTTTTCGTTCCTCTCTCATTAGTTATTTTATAAAAGAAATGTAAAATGGTTTCCGTGTTTACATAGCCTGATGTAAACACCTTGGAAGTTGGGAGAATACTCGATAAGCTGGAAACCACTACGCTTCGCGTGGTGGTTTCCTACGCTTATCTCGTGTTCTCCCAACCTCCCGCGTGTTTACATCAGGCTATGTAAACACGGAAACCATTCTACATTTCTTCAGCATAAATCATGATGTGCTCTAGAACAGCACCGTCCTCTGATAGCCTAAATAGCATCCTGAGAAAAAGAAGACGACAAGTTATATTAACAGTTTTACTTTTAACCACTGAAAAGTGGACAAACATCACACGGTCTTGCTAAGTCAACACTTACTGCAGTGTATCAGTTATGCAGATTCAGTTAGCTTAGATAATAACTTTCCAGGTAACGCTCGTCGATATTGAAAAGCACTCATTGTTAGTCGAAGGAAAATTCCATACATGATCGAGAAATAATTCTGATAATAGCAGACCTCAAGCCAATGTAAGGACTATGTTCGAACAATATGCGCCGCTGTCGGGAGAGCTGGAAAGAGCATCACGTGACGATCATTTGACCAGTTGAATTCGTTTGGGGAATCCCCTAGTTAAAAATTCACTCTCCAACATCGAGGGAGACGCCATATTGTTGCTTCTCGCCAAGCTCTTGCACTACTCTTCGAAAACCCCGACGTATAAGAGCGTCGATTGGGTATTTTTATCGGTATTTTTTATCATTTTTTCAATGTATGCAATCGGAAATATTCCTTACCGAGGTTATGGAGTATTTCAGCTAAAAATACCAATCTTTCACTCGATACGAACGGGCTGCGTCAGAGATAGATACAAGATGGCGGATCGTGGATTTTGGCATGGATAGCGAGCGAGCCTCCAGTAAAGGTATCGTCCAGTTTTTGTGATCAGTTTAATACTGCAAGTTGGTACGCGAAGGAATGCTACGATATATTTAGAAATTTCATAATCGTGCGGTATGCCTTCCTTTGTACTATAATACTGCGGAAGATGTAGGAGGCACTCAATTAACTCGGGTACTTTCCCTCCCAAGAGGCAGACCTTTTCCTCTGTCTGCCTTACAGTTTAACCATGCACCTTTCCTAATTACATTCAAGAACAGTTTTCCAATGTTTCTTTTTTACATTTCGGCTCTGTTGATACCTTATCTTGTGAAAAAATTACATTTTCATCGTCAAACACTATCAACGTATTGTTCACGAAAAATGTGCAAATGAAGCACTTTTTAAACGTGTTCCTTCAGTTTCGGGTTTAACTTCGAAAGCATGGATACAGCTTTGCTTTGTAGAATCAATCATAAATTTAAGAAGAATTTGCCGTTAATCTATGTGAGCTTAATGCTTTTGGTGATAGAACCGAGTTAAGATGTTTGCTTCAAGCGCGCATTTCATGGTGGCGTTAGTTGGCCGATTTCCTGTAGTTTCCTGTTCCACAATGCCATGAGGTCATTCATCTTCCTGCGTTTACAAGAAGGCCTCTACTTCCTTTTAGAATTTTAGTTGCACGTAACAATTCGAAGTTTCAATTTGGAGTATATTTGAAGATTATACACAGTTGGGAAGTTTTACAAGCTATGCCTCATTCGACAAAAATAAACGGTAAATTTAAACGGTAGTGCATGGCATCATTCTAGTTTTCTGTGGTTTATACCCCTCAATTTGTGTTCTAAACAAGTAAGACCATCATTTCTCATTTCTTAAAGAACAGTCCTTCACGAAACACTGTACATTCTCAATACTATATGAGACAAAATTTGTTTGTAAGATTTGGGTTACAAATTTCGTATTATAGCTTTAATTTTACACTCTATCTTTGATTCTTTGATTCTTTGATTCAACCACTGAAGTCTCATTTTTGTTAAACATTTTTTTTTGTTACTGGACTCAGTTTACTTGAAAATAGGAATACAGGTAAAGAGGACTTTTTAAATGGTTAAACTTAACTCTAGGTATCTACAGAAGCTAGAGCTGGTAAAGAGAGAAGAACTTTTAATGAAGAAGAGAAATTTGATAAAGATGAGTGCTGGGTGACAGGACTCAAAATTCTATTCAGTTGCTTTCAGGAAAAAAATTGTGCACCTACATTGCATGCATATTGTTGTGATTATAACAAGCACTAATTATATTATGTTAGTAGTTTTAATTTTTTTTATTCTTTCAGACTTGAAACAAGCAGGAGCAAGTCTGGATTAATTCACAGACCAAAAATAAACATTTGAACTGCCATGACAGACATGAAAGATGAATCAGAAACATTGAATACATTGGAAAAGTTTACTAGTTTACAGAAAGAGATTGCAAAGTTAAAGCAAGAGAATAAAGTTCTTCACATTCGCGCTCAAGGAGTGGAAGTGTTAGGTAATTGTACCAGAACATGAACAGGAATTTTGTAGGATTAATTTGAATCTAGATACACCAGTTGCTTTGTGATAAGATTTAATACATGGGGAATATTTAGGCGCAGTTCAATTCTTGGTGCATTTAGAGTGTTTGACTTACATCTAAACCAGGGTTATAATGATTATGTTTGGTAGTGGCATGTACAATCATTCTGACTGGTATTTTGATTGATGCAACTCAAGTTATACCTGAATATATTGCATTTACCTCTAAGCTTGAGCGAAAGGTAAGTTTACCTCTTAAAAAATGCCCTTGTAATTATGGTTGTTATAAATTAAATTTATGAATATGAAGTGTTCAAAAGATCAGTGCTATATTAGGTCAAGTTCAATTTAATTTTATGAACAGCTCACATTTATCAGCTAGGACCAAACATGTGCTTTCTAACCACTAGGCAAGCACATCTTCAACAATACAATTACAGACAACACACTTTGAAAAGTAACTTTCTGTACATGTTTTTTTAATTATCACTTTTGTCCATTTCATACTTGCATATTTATCAGGTAAAGTCCTTCAAGATTCCCAAGAAAGCAATGCTAAACTAAAAGAAGAAGTTAAAGAGTTGAAAACCCATCTGGACCAAAGAGGCATCGATGCAGCTTTAGCTGATATCTCAGTCAGCACTTCAGTAAATGATGACAGCCAGGACACAATAAAAGATCACGGAGAAAGATATTACTCATCTATGCTTGGGAGAAGTTCACAAAGCCATGACTATGTTAATGTCACGACAGTTTCAGGACCCCAGTCACTGCCTGCAGAATTTTCTTCCATCTTATGTGGAGATTTTCACATCAAGGTATTAAATAATGCTCTGATGCAGAATTAACAGTTGGTTTTTAGTTTCTCTTCAACTCATTTATTTCAGACTTTGGAGAATGGAGACTGGATGGCTGCTCCTAAAGAAACCTGTACTTGCAAAATGAATGAATGTCATTCAACAATGATGTTGAGTTTACTTTTGTTGACCACATTGCAGTACTATTGTATACTGATTGTTGAGGATAGATACTGTAAGAATCTATGTCTAAACTTTTTCACTCTCATACCCATGATCTAAATATCAATTCAAGGTACAATCTGCTATACATTTCTTAAAAATTTGCCTAGTTTATTATACTTTTCCTTCTTGACATCTTTTGTTCGGCAAATGTAATGTTAGTATAAGGCAGAGCATAGTACAATTAGGAAACCTGCTCTAAAACTCTACTTGGAGGGAGGGGGGTTGTGAGTTGGGTTGTGAGTCACGAGGAACAAATTTCTTATTTTAGAGGATAAAAGATACTCGGAAAAAAGTAGACAAACCACTTTATTCAGAATTACTTTTCTCATTCAATACTTAGGGTGTGTATTTGTTTGTGGTGTGAACACTGCATGGTGTGGTTCAAACTATTCTTGGCTCAACATTTTTCAAACCAATTTCGTTTTAAATGTTTTTTTTCCTTATTAAAAATTTACTTCAGTTTATGATAATAAGCACTCAATTCAATATAAAGCTTTAATTAAAGAGGGCAATTTTTATGTAATTGTACTAATGAAACCAAACCATGTTGAACCATGCCATGCAAAACTTATGCCTGCTCTCTATGGTCATGTACACACTGTAATTACTATAAGTGTTTGTTGTTAGCAGTATTCTTAAGTATTTAGTTTAAATTTAATTAGACATCAAAGGACCCAGTAACTTAAAAGGAAAACCATAAAAACAAAATAAAAGATAACAAGTTTAAAACAAATTGAAATAAGAAAAGAAAAAAAACAGCCTTCCCTGAAAAAATGAAAAAAAAATGAAAAAGATATAATATATCAGCATATCTGAAATGTGGAAAACAAAAGAATTAAGAGACTGAAAGAAAATTTGTAAAAAAAAAAGTGTAGACATCAACAATTGAACAAAAAAAGAAAACAAGAAAAAAATATGAACACAGAAAAAATAATGAAAGGAGTGAATAAACAAAAAAAAAATTGAAAAAAGAAGAAAATGAAGGCTTAATGCTGGGTCATAGATGTTTACTGAACATAGCTTGCCTGTCGTAAAATCTACTCTGTATATGTTTCTACTTTTGCTCAGTTACATGATTGTGCAGTACACTTTACTTAACCCTTTAACTCCTAGAAGTGATCAACATAAAACTTCTCCCTATATATCTTTACATTATCCAGCAAACAAGTAATAAGAATATTCGAATTTATCAGGTAGAAGTTGGCAACTTGATCCAATACAAAATTCACACAACTAAATTTACAAGGAAATTTGCAGGTAGAGGGGAGAATTAACAATCAGATCTTGGGAGTTAAAGGGTTAATGTACCTTTTAAACGAGCTTGGTTCTCTTTCAGCAAGATGCAGTAAACAATTGAGACAGATACTTTCATGTAATTTTGTGTGAAACTAATCCAACAAGTTCCTTGAGAGAGGACAGAGGAGCAAACTTGAAGATTTTTCTTGTTAGCAAATCAGACTAGTCCTATGCATAAGCAGATTCAACTCCCACAAGTGATTAACATGAAACTTCTCCCTACAATCTCCATTCATTATTCAGCAAACAGGTTACAAGAATATTCAAACTTATCAGGTAGAAGCTGCCATCTTGATCTAGCACCAAGTTCTTATAACTAAGTTACAAGGAAATGTTTAGCATCTAGAGGGGAGAATTAACCTTCAGATCATGGGAGTTAAAGGGTTCATTTCTTTGTACATACAAATTATGATCAGGGTTCAACTGAGGTTTCTCTACAGAGATTCCTCGACTTTAAAGTTTATGAAATTCTTGTGTTTCAAAAGGAGTTACGTGATGAGTTTGAACACATTGGATCTGAGCTAGATCAAATACAAAGAGGGACACACAAGCTTCACGAGAATGTAAAACAGCTACCTGATGATGGCAGACATGAAGCAGAGTTGCTGGGGAAAATTGCACAATTCAATTCAAAGCTTCATGAGTATATTAAGGAGGCTCGCACAAGGGAGACCCTATCAAGTGCATTAATTACTGAAGAGGAAAAGTTGAAAGCAAAGCTTGCCGAAATAGAGGCAGAACAGGTTTGTTAATATTGTGTCTGCTGTATGTTTTTTGGGGAATTATGTATTAATGCACCCTGAAATATCTCATGGTTTCAGATTCCTTTTATGGTAATTTTGATCATCTGAATATCACTGCTGCAGAGGTCATCAATTTTGTTTTACAAATGTTTTTGGGTGTGTGTGGTTGTGTTTCCTACCCTCTTTAAAGTATGACAGAAACTTTCAAACCAGTAGAGCAATCCTTTCACATGTTGAATTTGCAAGACATGAGAGCAATTTTAGGCAGCAGTAAGAGATGCTACAAACAATAAATTTTACCAAATACCACCTGAAAAAGAGAACGTTGCTTGATCCAAATTAGGTGACAAAACTGATTGCTACTGAATTTTCAGAAGAAATGGATAGTATTCTTTAAAAAAAAAAATATATATTTGCAAAGTTTTATGATGAGCAAAATTTGTGAATAAAAGAATAGAAAAAAGGTGTGCTTCTCCTTGTAGGCCTCCCATGAAAATGTGGTGCTTCAGTTGAAGAATAAACTGGATGAGAGCCGTGAAGAAATGGAACAACTGCAAGATGAAGTGAAACTCTTTAAAGATGCTGTGTTTGTGGAAAGAGAGCAAGTATCACCACTGGGAAACAGAAATGATCCTTTGTCATTCCGTTCAAGAAAAAGTGCATCCAAATTACTATCTGATGAGGTACTGTCTGTTTGAGAGTTTTCAGTCCTTTTTTTTTTTTTTTTTTCTTTTTTTTTTATGTAAAGTTAGTAGTTCACTTCCTTTTTACATGCAGTAAAAGTTTTCATTTCAAAGTAATTTCATCATTTCCAGCTTACACCTTAAACACGTAATTAAAAGTTTTTCAGCTGAATTATCAGCTATGTTGCATTTAAGTGCGTACAGGAGGTGGTTATTGTATAATTATGTAAGTGCAGGTGTGGCTTGAATCCTTGAATTAATATTTTTTGTACCAGTTTTAACTTTTTAATTATACATGTGCATTTAGCAAGACAGTAGTTTTCTCAGATCCAGAGTCAGCCTTGTATTTTTCCACTCCCTGTTCAATATATTATTTATGCTGTCTGCAAAAAGAGGTAACATTTCAAAGCTTGGGTTGGCTCTCTGCTTATATAACTAGGGTTCAATAATTGTGAAGACACCACTCTCCCAGTCTGGACCAGAATCTTGTGAGACCTGTTGCCAGTTGAAGAGGCAAAATGATGAACTACAAAGACAGCTTCTATTGGCCAAAACTGAAAAAGATGAAGCACTAAAACTTAAAGAAGAGGTAACTGTGTGATATTTTATTATTTTTTAACACATGTATACTGTACAAGCATGTTTTGAATACCTCTGTTATGACTAATCTATGCACAAAAATTAATTCCAGATCCTGAAAAGACTTGTAATTTATTGTTATTTTTTAACATTTTTTTGGTTACTCAGTTGCTTTGTTTTGTTTTTTTGTGTGTTTGTTTGTCAGTGATGGAATCTGTCTTTCTTCTGGTAGGTTCTTGATGTGAATTACAAGTGGGATGAACAATACAAACTTCTGGTTGCAGCCTCAAAGAAAGACATCAACGAATTAAAGCAGCAAATTGAAATTTTGAGGTCTGGCAATAACGGACATTTCACAGGAGCATTACTAACAGAAAAAAAGGTTTGCAGTAATTGATTGCTCAGTAATTACTTGAAGTTTCATTTCTGAAAGGCGGTTGCAAAACAAATTGTACTGATATTGATAGTGGGCTCTAGTGCATACATACATGTGCTGCCATATGTTTACTGCCAAACATTTGACTGGGGAAAATAACTATTGTTTTGACTATTTTTATTTTGAGACTTAGTATTCGATAGAATATAGAACATAGAAAGCCATTGAAACTTTTAGAAAATTTATGCGATCTGTTATGGCTAGAATTTCACACAAATGAGGTCTTCTAAAGGTGTACAGATGTATGCTGGAATCCGCATGAATTGGACAGTGCTTGAGTTCTGACTAAGGTTAGGGAATTTGTTCCTTGCACAAGACATTTTACAGTATGTGGTTCTTCTTAAAAACTTGTTACACATGTTGGTACCAATAGTGACAGTGTGCATGCAATGAACATTCCAGGAATTAGAAGATCGCTGCAAACAATTGGAAAGTGAGTTGCAAGAGAAACAGCTAGAAATAAACAGCCTACAGCTTATGATGAGGAACAAGCCTGCACATTTGGTAAGCTTTCATGTGTCTATACGCAAACCTCAGGGTGCAATATAATCAATCAACACATAATTTTTTGTGATCTACACATCCCACTATAACATCAAGAGGGCCCCCCTCCCCCTATTGTAAGGCCTTTTTGTTACATTAAGTTAAACAGGGCATAGAGGTCAATATGACAGTTGGCAAGTACCCTCTGTTTGACACAGTGTAACCCCCCTTTGAAAACCATTTGTGTTTGAACCTACAGTACATGAAGATTTCCAGCTAATAAAAGCTTGTTTCTTTATTGCTATCTTTGCTGCTCAAAAGCCTCTACTTTAGATCAAGTGAGAGAAATTCATAAATTTCCACAGCAAGTTGTCTAACTGTTGCTTTAAGATACTGTACAGAAAGATATTATGCATTGTATTGTTGTCAAACTATACTTTAATACTTTAGCTGTACGGTAACATGTGCAACTGAAGTGGATGAGGGGAATACAGTATATCCCTCCAAACATATTGCCAACTGTGAGGCCAAAAGACTTGAACTTACGGTATTAAATTTTGTGTCTATGCATTTGCATGTCTGCAGAATCTAGCACCCCAGCACTCATCGATGGAACAACTGCCTTCCCATCTATCCCTGCTGGGTGCAGCTGCACCACGCCCAGGTCCACCTTCCGAAGGTTCACCATCCTGGCCTGGTACAACTGTTCTTGGACAGCAAATCCCTGCAGAGGTTATTGATCAAATAGAAGTTTTGAAACAACAGCTCAGAGTCTATGCTGACGATTTTGCCACTGAAAGAGAAGACCGTGAGAGGAATCAGACAGAAAAAGAGAAGCTCAAAGAGGAATTGGATGCTGTGAAGGAGCAATTACAAGCACTTGAGCAGCAGGTACAGTTTTAAAAAAAATGGAATAAAGGTGCTTTTGCAACAAATGTTGGTGCAATCCTAGTACAAGTATCTACCTTGGATATGCCTTCCCATCAGGTGACTGTCTACATGGAAAAAAAAATCCTTTACCAGAATGTGTTTGTGAGATTCTTTGTTGCTACATTTTGTCTTGCTAATGTGTTTGTAATAACATCAATAATCATTGTTTGTGTGTATCCTTTGTTTTGGTAACTGCCTTCTCTTAATTCTGTCATGAACACAAGCTGTTAAAGGGATTTTTTTTCTAATTGGCAAAGTAGGTCCTCGTGTATGACACATGTGCATGTTTTTTTTTTTTTTTTTTTTTTATCAGTATTGAGGTTGCACCAAAAGCACAGCTAGTCACATAATGTTATCTGTAGATCTCACACATGTGAACTTAGGGACCTTAAGCAGTCAGAATTGACGATACCAGGGATGCTGTTGAATGAATTAACATTGTGTGCAATGTACATGAGTTTAAATTATTAAGGAGTGAGACCTCATCTTCAGCATGACATGTCACGGCAGAGTTGAGTTCTGAACAGATATCATGTGGAAAGTTGGCTTTCAATATTTCCTTTCTCGAAACTGTGAAAATTTACATTTTGTCAGTGATGTCAAGGAAACTAAAGCCTTTGAAAACTAACATGCAAAATTATTGCTTTGTTTTGGTCTTATGGGTGGTACAGTCTTTGTCATGACTGCTTAAGGTCCTAATTAATAGGATTCAAAACACGGTTGACATCACAATCATGTTGACTTGTTTCCTCAGTCAGGGCCACCTGATCCACAACTGTCAGTAACTCAGCTTGTCCTCTGGGACTAGCCCTCTCACACTGCTGAACACTCACTCAGCCGTAGGGTAGGTTCTGGAAGTGGAACAGTGGATAGAGTTTATAGTGTACAATGCAATTTCAGAAGCACAGGTGGCCAGCATGTTTCATGGTGGTGAATGTCACATGTCAAGTTCTCCATAATCTCATTATTACTAATGGAAGAACTAAGAGACTTATTTTTAACAGTGTAATAACTGATAGTACTGTATTTATTATATTGATGTACGTTTTTGCATGTACATGGAAATGTCACAATTGGTCAAAATTTTCGAGAACAACATGTTATAAAGCTCAGAACTGGTATTGAATGTTCAAGTCAAGTATATAAACATTGTTTTTCCTTGGTGCTCTTAAAAAAATTTGATGCAAGTACTTTTCAATAGTGATTGGAAAATGTTATTTGTTTTCTTGGAGACAGACAAATGTACATGCACAATTCTGTACAAGCAATATGTGTTTTATCAAGTTGCAGAGTTTTTAAGTGTGATTGATCATAAAGATAATATTCACCTTGGTTTCCCTTTAAAAAGTAATTGCTTGGGGTATGTGCTTGGGGGCAGGGTTTATTGTGTAGTGACCATAGCTTATTATTCATATTCCCATAACATACTAATCACTAATCTTTCATTTCGAAACAATTCATGTGGGGGCAACAACTAAGTAGCTAATTATTTTGTTGTTTATAAAACAACCTTATTTTAGAACAATAGAGGCTTCTTCATCCTCTTTATAATTCTGGTGGATTTTTATTAGATTTCCTTGGACATTTTAGCAATATTGCTTAACGAGGAATTATAATAATGTTTTTCTTTAATGCTTAATCCTCTCTAACTCTTCAGTATCTGCTTGATGTTCATGGAAACCAAGGAAGCAAATTATGTAGTCTTACCAGTTAAAAACGCATCTTGTTGTGTTTTTTCGTAGCTCCAGATATACGAAGAAGACTTCAAAAGAGAGAAGAGGGAGAAAGAAAGCCTTCAGCAACAATTAAGAGCTAAACAAAGTGCAGTAAGTTTTTCTTTTTCTTCTTCTGACGTATGAAACCCGAATGACTATGTCTCAGCAGTTATACGTGTACTTGCGTTTTTGGGATATGCGGGGACATATATATGAAGGTGGGAATAATGTCACAAGGTTTCAGAGGAGCTTATACATATACAAAATGTACGCTTTGCTGTTCTTCATAGGGTGGTTACTCATACAATGATCCGTTGGCACAGAAGGCCAGGGCTGTAGCTGAACAGCAGGCCAGGGTCCAGGCCATCAAAGAGGTACACGACCGAGAAAGGGACAGGCTGTTAAGAGGACAAACCGAGTTACAGCAACAGGTTTATGATCAGGTACTAGGTCCAAGCTCAAGTTCGTTTAAGTCGCCATTTGTCGACCTGAATCAATCATAAAATGGTCGCCTGAGTTAAATCTTGGTTTTCAGAAAAGATGTGTTCTATATTATGTACTAAACCGCTTACTGTACCACTTATAGTTAGAGTAAACAGTACGGCTGGCATTCGTTTTCAAATATTCATAAGGCATCTCCAAAAACAAATCTCTGTACTTTTGAAAGTCAGGAAAAAGAGGCAAAGTTTTATCGAAGAGAACAACAAAAGTAGTGAAGTATTTGGTGAAAGTGTTTATGTCACCATCACTAAGTTGACTTGAGACCATAAAAATAAGTTGTCAGAAAGGTACAACTTGTGGTCGCAGTTTAATGCGCTGAAGTAACATGTAGTAACAGTTTTATCATTACCAGAATTCTCCAAAGGTTTTTCTTTTTCATTTATTTGAAAGCTGCATCCTTTGTTTTCCTCACCAGCCATACAGTCGTGCTCGATCCCAGTACAATCCTTATGGAAGATATGGCCAGGATTACACAAACCATGAATTGAAGCGGCCTCTTTTGGTCCCAAGGGTAAGGTTTTTTAATTCAGTTTCCACAGTGGTTTAGTATGCGCGTTATCCATGTTATCGCATTGTATATAACTGTAGTTATAGCGATTTAAACTCGAAGGTAATCCGGAATTTCTTGGGTTACACTATGAGATTGGTTTAGAAAACTTGTGCCATTTCCTCAGCCGATCATATTCAAAACTAAATGAATCGCGATTTGGTCAGTCGCGCTTTCCCGCGCTATAAGCACTTGTGAATTGTTTTAACTTTGAATTTCATCAATAGTTTCCTTTTCTTTGATTGGCTATGGTGATTACGTTTGTTTTGGTCTTACGTCACTGAGTCGAAAAACGCTCAAAGACAACAAAGCTAATAAGGTGTTATAGGTCTCGCTTCCCGTCGTTTCTCGTCCATGATATAATGGTGCATGTAGGTAGATGAACTGCACTGTTCCCGTTGGTACCAGAAAGTGTTAAGGATGCTTTTGGAGTCGCAGTCCTTTCATACTCTCACTTTCAGAAGGCATACCCAACCGGCGGCTCCTTATGGTCGCCATGAGAAGATGAGTCAAAGCAGTGTTGCTAGAGCCTGTATTCACCCGGTATAGTTTGTTGCGCAGAGCTATAACAGCAAACCGTCTCTAAGTATTCCCGGACATTTGAAGTGCTACTCTAAATCGTTTTAGTTACTCATAGTGGCATTTCTCTTCCGCATCGTGTAGGGTACAATGCATCCTTCTCATGGATTAATCACACATCCTACAAGTCAGCAGGCAACCAGAACTTCCATTTACCATGGAGGAGAAGTTTACCCAGACACAGTGCGAGACGTTATAGATTCCCCTTTGGATGGAAACGATGTCGAATCAGATTCAGGTGTTAGCAGCAAGGAGGAGGTGGTTGGACTGGAAGAATGCCCTCGCTGCTTGAGGAAGTTTAATGGAGAGGATAGCGACGCAATTCTCAAACACATCGAGAGGTGCATCTCCTAAGGTGGCTCAACAGTTTGCGGTACTTTTTCAGATTGTTTCGATGTATCAGCACTTTCACCCTGTATCGGTCTGTGCTAAAACATTGGTAACGAGCAGATGTCTGATCATTGGGTTGTATGTCCTCATCGTCCCGCGTGTTTAAGTGATGTTTAATTGTATATTACACAATGAAAACGGCGTTAGTTCTTGCCCTCAGTGATTGTAAAATTGTATTTAGTAAGCTCGGGGTACAAGTCTTTGATTACAAAAATGAAGTCGTTCGTTCTTTCCCTCAGTGATTATAAAATGTTATCAAGTAAGCTGGGGAGTACAAGTCTTTGATTACAAAAATGAAGCATTTAGTTCTTTCCCTCAGAGATTATTAAATGTTATCAAGTAAGCTCGGGAGTACGAGTCTTTGATTACAAAAATGACGTGGTTATTGAAAAACGCAACTTGTTTAGGTCTTGAAAAGTAGAGGTTTAAGTTTAATCTTACTTTTTTAACGAGAAAGTGTCGAAGCTAATGGTGGCTTTGTGATTGGTATAATGATACGCGGAGAAAGAGACATTTATTTAAGTCTTTGATTACAAAAATTTAGTATTTAGTTCTTTCCCTCAGTGATTATTAAATGTTATCAAGTAAGCTCGGGAGTACGAGTCTTTGATTGCAAAAATGACGTGGTTATTTAAAAACGCAACTTTTTTAGGTATTGAAAAGTAGAGGTTTAAGTTTAATCTTACTTTTTTTAACGAGAAAGTGTCGAAGCTAATGGTGGCTTTGTGATTGGTATAATGATACGCGGAGAAAGAGACATTTATTAACCAATGATTGGACATCCGTTTGATGCTCTTGTTTTATCATCGGCCAATTCAGAGTGGAAGTAATAGCACATCGAATCATAAGTACTGCGAACTGCTTTGAGCCACCACATGGAAACGATGTGGCCTCGATGTTTTTGAGGGGGTGGAGTTAATTTTGAATTTATTCACCAACTCAATGGAAAGTAGGGCATATTGCCCCACATTCAATAATTTTTGTGATCATGGTTTACACAGTTACACATATTGTCTTTGTTTAAACTTAACGTTGAATATCTGTTTTTTCAATTTTTTTTGTCACTATTCATATTTGAGTTGCTTGATAGAACCTGCACAATTTATATTTCATACGAAGTTCAGATTTGTTAAGGTTTTGTTGGGAGATTAGAACATTTGGTGGTGTGTTTTGAGTGATATTTTTGACACTAGCTATACTTATTAAGACTACATAACCATGTTAATCAGAGAAGTTAGATACAGTTTTTTAATGCGCGTGACAACTCATGAAGTGTGCGAATGCACAGAAGGGAGATTATGTTACTTCCGCAATCGTTGTCTTAATTCCATGTCTTCATGTAATCCCTTTCAGTTAATTTTAGGGAAGTTAATTTTTTTTTTTTTTGGTACAATTGTTAGAAAGGTTTGCCATGTGAGAGGAAGAGAAACTGGATTCTCGACCAGCGTGCTTTTGCTTTACTCGGCAATTGAAAGCATCCTTTTTCAGTTTCACTTCACAACATATAGTGACTAGGTTTATTCTGCATTTTTAGGCCGTTTAGCAGAATCCGTGCAACGTGTGAAGATATTTTATAGCATACAGTCATTTGAAATCGATAATATCACCTTTGCAACTTGAAATTTGATTTGGTTTCCACCATCACAGGAAATCGCAGCGAAACAACAGGTGGTCATTTATTTTCAAAAAATTATGTACTCAGAGCTTTGGTTAAAGGAAAATGTGCCTAAAAAAAGTTCTCGGGGAAAATGACCAAAGGGCTGATTCGGAGCCAGATCCGAGACCTTACAGCCTATACAATGGCTCAATGTCGACCTTAAAAATTATTGCACAATGCAATCCCAAGCTTAGATAATCGAAAGCCTTAAACTAAAATTCTACTCCATTCAAGGGCTGAGGCCCAGGGCGTGTTGTTCTCATGCCGCAGAAATATTTTATTTCCGCTTAATTTGTCGTATTTTTAATCGTTGAAAACTTGGACTTAAATGGTTGCCAGGTATCTCGCGCCATCTCTTAATTTTTATCTTGAGTCATGAAATGTTCCCAGTCGATTGTTTGTTTATTTTGTGTTTGTTTTGTTTGAGGAAGTTTTGGTTTGTTTCTTGTCGCTGTTTTGACACCGATCGATTTTTTTGACTTAAATTTTTTTTAATAATTGAACTTGCAAGGTTTACAACTTTTACAAGTACTTCTCTATGTGTAAATTCTCAAGAGATCCCTGAAAGATTCTAAAATGAGGTTATTGAAAGTAACAGCAATGATTTACAACGAAAAAATAGCATTACAATGAAATAGCTAATCGTTTCCATGTTTTAACAGTTACATCTATTTTTCGTAGTTGCGGTGTTTTCGAAATTTACACCCTTCTTCCTATTATTATTGTCTTTGTGGTTTTTGTTGTCCTTGTTGTTCCCGTTCCTGTTCAGTTCCTGTTTACTTTCACCGTTTGTTGGGTTAACGGAATAGTATCCGTTGATCGTGCATGATTTGTAGGATGTGTTGTGTGAAGATTAGTTGTAGAAGAGTAAGACATAGCAGTGTTATCAAATTTATAATTGTAGAGATATTTTTTGTGGATAGCTGAAAAATCATAACGAAAACTTGAAAAAACGCGCCAAAAAAATCTTAAAACAAGCTCCTGCGGGACAAAAACGAAAAAAAAATTACACCGTTTTCGTGAAAAAGTTAAAAATTCTTTTAGAAGGAGGAATAAGTTAACGAATCAGATTGGTAGAAGGGGGGGTAGCGTCATTCGAGAAAATTTACCTTAAGCGAGTACTAGTGTAAATCATGAGACTTACGATCGAATATGTCTTTATTGAAGCTTAGACGGGCAAGTTAATTTAAAGGGGATCATTTCAGAACAGCAGTTACAAGAGATTTTAGAGCTATCAATACTACTTCGTTTGAAGTAGTATTGATAGCATGTTACGATTTTTCAAAATTTACTCATGTAGTGCGGTCTTAGAGAGTTGTACTTCGTTGTTTTGCTACAAAGCGTAGATGTCTTTTACGTTTATGTGTTGATTAAGAATTAATCAATACATTTGCTTACTCAGGTACCCGAACGTACTTAAGGGTATATTTATTTTTGTTCAGTTCGTTTTTTTAGTTTGGGGCGACTGGTTTGCTACTACTTTCAGCAAACTTGCTTTACATTACTTACCCAAAGAAAGCAACAGTTAAATAAACTGCCAAGATCAATACAGAACAAGAGCTGTAGAATAAAAAAAAAAAAAAAATTCAAAAAAAAAAAAAAAAAAAAAATCAAAAATCCCAAAAATTCCTAAAAATTCCCAAAAAAAAAAAAAAAAACTCAGAGAGTGGGATGTAAGAAGAGAAATACAAGTAATGTCTTCTTAAAAACGGGTTATTCATCTCGGGTTTATGAATAAAGATATTCCCGTCACATAAATCCCATTAACTAAACCTGTAGTTTACAGCTACGAATGTTTTAATACTTTTTTTTAGGATCCACTATATTATGGTTCCTTAATTGTTATTTTGCTTTTTTTGTAGCTTAGGATATTGTGCTTGCGGAACGAAAAAGTTCCACAGTTTAATTAAACAGGCAGCACAAAAAAGAAAAACAAAAAACAATAAAATGTGGTGAAAATAAATTCGTGTTTTGATTTATTACTTTTACGTCCTCAAGTCTTTTGAAATCGTTAGGTGACTTTTTGGGATCTGGAACTTCAAGGAAAGAGTTTCATGTATTTTCTAAACGAAAGAGGTGGATAAAAGGTACAGAAATTACGTCTGGAAAGTTTTTTCCGATAGTAAGAAATTAGGTTGAGACATTCTGCAAGATAATGGTGCCATTTTACGTCAAATCTTTAGTCTAATCTCTGTCACCTTGCTTCCCGTAAATCTCTGAGAGGTCAAATAGAAGAACTCAGGAGCGAAATATTTTGGATTAAATACGCACGGATACGTTTGATTGAACAGCTCGGGTCTAAGAGGACGATTCTTCAGGTAGCCCGATCACTGAAGAACTCGAATTTGTGATCAGTGACTGGAGTAGAGTGGCGAGAAACTGTTGGTCTAACAACTTTTTTTGTTGTTTTTGATTTTTCCATTTTGTTATTCCAATAAGTACAAATATACATCTAAACCATTTCCTACTGGAAAAAAAGAGAACAAGGATAACTAACTAATGCCTCAGCGAGTACTTTAGTTCAAAGGACCAGAGCTCCAGTTCAAACAAACGTGATTGTTGATGATAATAGGAGATAGTTTCAACCTTCATTCAATATCATTGACCATCAATCATATTTGCGTTCAAACGGTTCATGATAGTTGATGATCGAGTAATTTTAAACAAATATGGTGCGCGCTGAGGTCAGCAATTTTGGTGGTATTTAAAAATTTTAGTCAAGAAGTTACGATTTGGAGATACTGAAGCCTACCGGGAGATGATGACAATTGTAGTGTATTGCGTTACATAAGGTCACATAGCGTCACTACTGAAAGGAACTTCCAGTCGTGCCATAAATATACTCTCCTAAGTGAAAGTAAAACAGCTGATTACGAGTGTTGTACGCTAAATATATTATCTTGATCATTTAATCAAAAACAGTTGAATTAAAGGAATGAAAGTGATCACATGACCTAGGACTACCCTACAACAATGAACTACACTTCCATTTGAAGTGCCAATTATAATATCAGGCCTCTTTTGAAATGCTATCCCTTAAATTTTCTGCAGATTTGTCAGTCTTACGTTCTACCAGCGAACAGAACGAAATTGCAGGAACGTATGCACACTTGAGAGGCTTTTTGAAAATTAGACGGTATGGCCGGGAGGAGATAATCTCTTAATACTACTAACTAGGTTCAAACGAAATTTACAAAGGCTTGTTTGAGTCACACATCGTCGGTGGGGAATATGTTTACATTACAGAACACTGCGGTATTAAAGGATGCAAAGGAACCTATTCACATCATGATGCTGTAATGTGTTTTTTTGGCTGAGAATTATTGTCAAATTGGATAAAATAAGAGAAACGGGATGTAGAAGCAAGAAGGAGTTAAGAATAACCATAAAGAAACAAGGAACTCTGGGTAGAGGATGGAAAAAATTAACACGGAGATTAAACAAAGGACTTTAGAGAATAAAAAAAGGAAAAAAATGAAACACCAAGAATCGAATTATAACCAAAGTGCGACTGCTGTGGGACGACCAAATGGAGTTTATCTAAAAGTATTCGTATGGGGGCAGAAGATTAAGTTTTGAGAACAGCAATTTTAAAACTAGAGCAAGACAGCGAAAAAAAAGTGCGAAAAAGAGAAAGCTACTGGAAAAAAGAAAAGAATTCGAGGTACGTATACGAGTTAAGGTAAAATCTTTAACCTGATAAGTTTGAGTAATCTCACTACCTGTTTGCTGGATAATGTATGGATACTTTAAGGAGAAATTACATGTAAATCACTCCTGGAGGTTAGAGGGTTAACAGCAAGACCCATTAACTTAGCGTAATGAAGGCACAGCCTTAAACATAAATCATGTTTATTAAGTTTTCTTAATTGGCATTTTACTAAATAACTGACATACATATCAAAGATGAAAGTAGAGAATAATTACACAAGACAACAATCATACGCTGTTTACAATTTTCTTGTTCAAATACAAAAAGAGACCTCTGAACTAGTAAATGGTTCTTTTATTGTTTTCTTCTGTTTCTTAGGACTTTTTATCCTAGGTAAAACACTTCCCATTCATCGGGTGTGAAGGGGTTACTACCTGCCAGTAAGGTTTGTTTGTTTTGCACACCACTTGGAACAGAATAAACATTGCCATGACCAAAATTGGCTTCGGAATTACGATTACTATTGGCATTGTCCGCGATGTAGATGTCATGACCGGTACCAAACAACGGACCGATGCTGGAATGCCTCTGTATTGCGTACGATGGCCTTTTTACCATGCTTTTAAATGGCGCTAGTCCTTCTTCATTGCGAAGAGAAAATAGGAAAGCATTTGGAGTGCTGGTGTACCCACCACTTGACTCTGAAAAAAGAAAATGATACACCATTACGTTAAAGAGCATATCATCAAGCTTTTTTCCGTTTCAATTAACCATTAAGCTTCCACATCAGGTATTGTTATTTTTCTCACTAGTATTAAGATATGTGCTGATTTTGTTCTTTTGTTTTTGTTTGTTTGTTTGTTTTTGGTTTTTTTAATCAAAATATATCATGCGAACATTATTTCTCATGCCTTTTGCTTCAAGCCTAGTGTAGGGTAGGCATGTATAGTTTGTATTCGAGCCAAGCAGCTCATCCATCCCGGGGCTTATCCCGGTATTCTCTGCATAAAGCAACTGGAAGCTTTACTACTCCCCCCTGGATGGAATATCTATCGAAAGGTTACCCGTTCCCCTGGCATTTCTTACGATTTCCCAGATAGTTCGTCGGTACCTATTTATACTCCTGAGAGAAAAGAGGCGATGCGAGAGTAAATTGATTTGCCTAAAAACACAACTCAATGACCCGGCAAGGTCTCGAGCCCAGACTTCTTGGCCCGCAGTCCTACGCACTAACCATCAGGCCACCGTGCCATTCATACTGTTCATGAAGTTTCCTTATTTCGATCATTTTTTTATTTTTATCTTTTACATTAACCGGAACAACTCAAAATGCAAAATACAAAAACACAAAAGAAAGCAAACACCAACAAAGACATAAAGTTGACATATAATAAATGTTTACCCCATGGAATGTCAGTGTATCCTCCAAAACGTACTGCCCTGCTTTTACGATAGTGACTGTGTTAGGTTTCCCATCACACCTGTTGTGGAAAGTACTGACCGACCAACCGTGAGTAGAGGCACGGTAACACAGCAGCCATTGAGGATGACTTCCAGCCGCAGGTTTCAGAAACTGATGTAGGTTGCTGTAGTAATACAGATTGCCTGCTATTATAGTTGAGGCCTTCCAAAGCGCTGACAAAAGGTAAAAAAAATATATTGCTTGTTTGATAAAACCTTTTAAAAAGGTCTGTTTTTATAAAGTCTATAACTTACATTTGTCATTTTTTTTGTTTACTTGTTTAGGTTTTATGATTAGTATAGCATCATACTATCTTGGTATGGTCGATCACTCTTTGGCGATACGAAACAGGGCTGTAGCAATAAAAATAAACAGGAACCATTCTTAAGGCCCAGAACTTGTTCATAATAAAATTAATAACCTAAATTCTTATCTTATCCAATATATTACGTAAAGAAATCATCCACTGATTACCAAATATTGCAAAATTATGAAAACATTGCATGTAAGGGACTCTGGGCTCATCTAGCCACATTGCATCATAGCAAGGAGTCCTTGTTATTCACTTGTGATTTTAAGGAATTTTTTTAATGCAGTTATGTAACGGTTAAGTCTACTTTGAAAAATTTACGAGATGCCACCCAAAATTGCTCTGGGAAAAAAAAAACAATAGTTTTGTTACCCGACACGGCATTACATTCAGGCTGACTTCCAGTCCATGAACCGTTCATCAAGCAGCGACGTTCTAGTGGTCCTATCAGTCCAAAACCAGACCTACAAGTAAATGAAACTTGCTTTCCTTCCCAAAATTCACCGCCGTAAATGAGACCATACTTTGGGTTTTTCAGCGGTGGACAAATTCTCCGACCTTGAAAGCAGCAAGTGGAAAACAAAAACTAAGAATTTTCAGCATTTCAAAGCTTAGTTACACACGCACGAAGGGGTTAACTCTAGAGGAACTGGAAGCTGTCTTACGGGTGAAAAAAACGCTCTGTGGGTGGAGCTTTAAAAAAAATGACTGGTGATGGAGACACTTCAAATATACGTTTCTGGTTGTCATGATGTGCAGAAGCGGGAATCTTTGGATTACAGCTCCTTTTACTTTTCGTTGTACAAATTTTGCCAATCTTGGGCTTTTTAGCTGAACCTAAGGTTATCATGAATTAAGGGAAAACTCTATTCAGCCACCTTAAGATTGCGAAAAAACCTTTGAACTGTATCCAACATTTCAAATTAAAAAGGCCAAAGAGGTCAGTCAACGTAAAATTTTCATTCATTCCCTAAAGCGTTTTGATGGTTCACTATCGATTTATTTACTTACTTATCTATTTTATTTATTTATTTATTTATGCATTTATCTATTCATTTTTAATGCTTAAAATTTCTCTTTTTATAACTTATCAATTAAACTGTAATGCCATGAGGCCAAGATTAGCAAAGGAAAACTGCTAATTAATATTAGAAAAAAAAGCAACCGTCATCACTTACATTCAGGTTGTATTTCACTCCAATTACCGGACGGTAAACAGGTCCTCTTATTTGGACCAACTAGGTGATATTGTGGATCACAAGTAAACGACACAGATTCCCCAGTCCAGTATCGGGAGCCACGTTTGTGTCCGTTAGATACAGAACCAGGATCACCACAATTAACTAAAACTAAAAAGGGTGAAAAAAAGAAACTTCATCGTTAGGAATGCCAATATGTTGAATTTATTATCTTTATCAAAGTGAAAGCAATTGGGCCTAGGAGGAAAGAATGAAAAACAAGAATCCTAATCTTGGTTGACTTAAAAAGAGTAGAAAGTGTTAGTCAGGCGCGGTAAAAAGTAAAGAAGCTAGAACTTCACTAAGCTTTACTGTGGCTTCTGTTGTCGCATTTTTTTCATTATAAAAAGAGCATTTGTATAAACCAGCGTCATCAGGTTGGAAGCGATCAATAACAAATTCGGTTTTAATCAGATTGTTGCCGTCCCGCTCTGCTGTAGAATCAACTTTCCGCCCATCCTTGAACCACGTGACTCTGGGTAATGGCGACCCACCAGCAGAGCATTTTAACCTCACCTTATCACCAACATTCTGTACCTGAATTTCACTAGGAGGACTGGAGACGATATACGGATTTACTATCGAGAGAAGGGTAAAAAATACAATCAAATTTTGACTAAATTAAAAAGAAATTATAATTTATAAATGGAGAGATTTACTGCCAAAAAATGCAACCAAACTTTGACTGTACAACTAAAGAATATTTTAGGCTTATCTTACCGACATCTTTGACAACGATCCATAACACAGCCATCACATTTCTCATCGGATTAGCCCCCCGGCAGACATATGCTCCACCATCTTCCTTCTTTGTGTTCTTAATCGTAAGTTGGTTACCATCAATGACGTTTCTGTTGATAGGCAGTTGATCCCTTGATCTCGTCCACGTGATTACAGGAGAGGGAAAGCCAAAGATGTCGCATTTCAGAGTCATGTCCCATGTCTTGTAGGCTGTCACAGAACGCTTAGGCTCGGAGATAAATTTTGCTGGTACTGCGACAACAAAAAGATCAGAACAAGATAGAACAAAACAAAAACGGAAAAATGAAGAACAAAAGAAATCAAAACATCCATCAATAGAAAAAAACAACAACAACAACAACAGAAAAACAGCAAAACTGAGATTAATTGTCTTTGCATATCTTCATATCCAAATGTTTCTTCAAACAATGAACATTTAAATCCAAAGTCTTCATAGCCTTGAAATTTGAATCTTTTAGGATTGGGCGGAATTGTAAGCTAATATACTTATGGTAGCATTTCAGTCATCAAATGCATGTCCTTTCATATTTACACATTAATGTTTACTTTTCAGTATTATATGTCGCTGAGGGCTGCAGCCTGCAGTGCAGGCTTTTTATTAGGGCGAGTTAACGTTAAGAAGCTCGCGATTGTTTATTCAACCGGTCATGTTTGATTTGGAGTTAAGATTTGACGGTGGGGGGATTGGTTCGGGAAAAGGCGTAATATTCACTGCCCCACCCCCTCCCCTCTACTTCTTTTTGACCAGGGCTCACCCTCTAGGTACAAATAACATTCTCTCCCTAGAGTTCCGCTGCTGTAAAAGTCAAGAATGATAGTTATAATTTCCCCAAGATAATACTGGGAACTCTGGGAAATTACGCCTGCTTTGCAGATTATGAGGGCTAAAGCTAAGACTGGCATCAATATAGGAGACGTTTGGGACTTCATGCATTTTAACAATTTTGGTCATTCATTTCAAAGGGGTACTTATGACTTATTTTTCTCTTCATTTCTTTATCCTTCGTCAATCCAGGTGACCACGGTGCCAATTTTTCTCTTCTTAATACAAAGTCATGTACATACCTCTTACTGTAATGTTCACCGATAACTCGACTCTTCCCAACAGATTCTCTGCTGTGCAGGTGTACATGCCACGGTCCTCAAACTTCATTTCGCTTATTTCCAAATCCTTTTCTTAAACTTCCTTGTTTTGTCCTCTATCAGGCGCCCATTTTTAGACCACGTGATCAGAGGTTGTGGGAAGCCGGTGGCTTCACAGCGAATTGTGACGCTTTGTTTTTCTTGAACTATCAGGGAAGACGGAGGCTTTTCGATGAAGAGTGGCAGTTCTTAGAGGGAAACAATATCATTATTAATGAAATGAAGAAAATAAATTAGTCCAGACTTATCGTTGTGGATCAAGAACAATCTACAAATACAGGAAAACTACAATATGCAAATTTTGATTTTGTTTTCCTACGTGGTAGGTTTTGTTTTCCTAACAGCACACTACAGAGTAATTGTCGTCCAAAGAAAGAGGCTTGAAATCTTACTTAACTGGCTTCCTCCACGACTATCTGTCTTCGTTTGGGCTGATATCCCAGGGGGGCCTGGTAATCTCCTGTTGCCTCTTTTTCCTGGAGATCCTGGTCGCCCCTTTGCTCCCTTTTTTCCTCTTTTTCCAGCCGGGCCGGGAGGACCCTGGGGCCCAGCCGATCCTGGTAAACCCGGGGGACCTGGTGGGCCTTTTGGTCCAACACGACCTGATTATGAAATAAAAACTCGAGATTAGTGTGATGAGCCCAATAAAACATCAGAAAAATCACTTTTCAGTTTTTTTTTTCTTACGTAATAAAGTAACAAATCTCGATAACTATCTTTTGGTTCAAACGTCAGCAAACTAGGTTCTCATAAAAAAAAATTACTTGAAGTATGTATTATTTTTGTACGGCAAAAAGAGATAAAAAAGCGAGAAGGAACTGATTGCTCATGATTTGTGAGACTCTGAAATTGCTATAAAAAAAATAACTAGTGCATCTTTGTGCTTAATTTTGATTGAGGTTGAGCAGGATATTCGTTGTTATTGACTATAGGTGCCTTGCATTGAGTTAAAAACCAATGCGACCCTTAACATTTCAGGGAATATCTCTAAATAAATTGAGTGTAAGAAAACAACCAAAAAAGAAGGCAAAGCAAACACTGGTTTTAAACTTTTAACTAGTGAAAAAAAAAGAAAGAAAACTTTAACTGATAAAAATTCTGTACTGAGAAAATACATAATCTTTCTCAATTCAACACTGCGTTATTCTTCGTGGTGTGGACTGCTAATTAAGCTCCCGATTTTTGCTGCTATCGAGTTCAGCTCATAAGGGTGTTATACACACTTAAATCTTACCTTTAACGCAAATGATGTTTCCCTCTGTCGAGTTCTGAGGATTTAACCAAAAAAAGAAAATAATTCAAGTAATTTTACGGGAAGTGTCGAAAGTCTTGAAAGGTTAAAGTTCGTATTTTCCATCACGAAATTAACATTAAGGCAATCAAAAACAGGGTTGATGTAAGAATTTACGGTGCGTTTCGCTTTAAATCTGCGCATCACTTTGAGTTCAGTGCAAATGTAAAAGTTGGGAGTTCTAGCTATTCGGCGATCGTAAAGCCAACAAACTTAAGGAAAAAGTCTTTAAATAATTTATTTCTAGATGTCCGAGCCGTGTGCCAACAGGAGGAGAAAAATTACAAGAGAAATGAAGTTATTAACTCAGTACTTAGAACCCTAGCCAAAGTGAACTAAAAGAAAAAAAAAATCTGTGTAAGTGTCTCAATTTGATTGGAGGCGACAACGTACTTGTTCCGTTGTAGCTAAAGCAGACTGAGTTCCTTATTTCTGGTTATTGATTAATCACCACTGAGATGAGATGACGTACGCGCAGCGATGTTATTTACCAAAGACGGTTCTTTGAGCTATTGTTTTGTAATACATACTATTCAGTTTAGCGTTACCCGGTAAAGCTAAATCCAAATAATTGATGATTTTGTTGAAACTGTAATGGATACGATGATAAAGAAGGTCAGTCTTAGATAAAAACACATATAAATGTCAGGCCTTCGTTAAAAATATCTCCAAGTTATCTAAATACAAATCCAAATAATAATGATTATTGTAAGGGTCACGATAATCATTATTTAGATTTGTATTGTTATTGTTTATTTGTATGATATTCTGAAACTCTTCAATAGGAATGGGTCACCTTTAGTGTGCAAATATCTCATCGTAATTTGGTTTAACCAATTGCTTCGATAATTCAAATTGGCCGCCTCCGTAAAGAGTTTCTAAAACCAATTTTTCGAGCGTTAGCCCCGCGTCATTCGCTTTGTCGGATCTAGCATAGATAGAGTAAGCTATTTCCATGCATTTTAAAGAACTCCCAAGGTCAGGAAACATAAATATGAAATTTTACTCCAGCTATAAGCGGTTCTTCGGCAAGATTGGTTTATATAGTTGTATAAAACTGAGAGATAGCACTTACGCTTCGATTTCCATTCGACTTAGCACAGACGTTGCTACATTTGCGGCACAAGGATGATCTATCTGTAGCTCTTCTCACGCGAACAATTTCCTCCATTTGTGCACCTCTTGGACGAGGATGCGTAATTGTAGGCAGAGAATTTACGCGATTTCCAAGCTCAGACGAAGGATTTGGCATCCGTAAATTTTGTTCAACCGCTATCAAACGCGAATCTAATCGTTGCAGAGAATAACAAGTGAAACCAAGTGAGCCCAGCGTGATAATTAAGTTGAATGAGGAGCCAAACAGGAAAACATGCGAATTATTATTCGCTTTGGACTCCATCTTTGAGACCACCTCTTTTGAAACAGATGTAAGGCTTGAGGACTGGCGAACAATGGCTTGAAACATAACCGAGGGGTTTTATGTGGGGTTTCATATAAACAGGTTGTTTATAAACTGGAGATATTTCAAACAGAAGCCTGACATTGCTACGTGTTTCTATCTAAGACGACCTTCTTTATAATCGTACCTATTACAATTTCAGCAAAATTATCAATTTTCATTTTACCGGTAAACAAGCGAAATTTGAGGATTATGACGTACATTTGAATAACTCCCGCAACATCTAAGTGAATGTTTGATAAAATAGAAAAACTGTAAAAAGGTCCTTTGTGTCTCATATTTTACGAGTCCACTGCGAATCACTTCAACACCGGAGAACACTAAAAAACATTAAGGGATGTTTTAGGTGCTGTGTCACGCAATATTTCGAGTGTGGTGGCACGATTTAAACCAAAAATATTGTTGTGGATTGAAAGAAATCCTCAAATAACGGATCGCGTGGGAAGATAATTTCCGAAGGAGTTACCTAAACTAAAATGCAAGCATAGAAAATTTAGTTTAAATATTTCAACGCACACAAGCCCAGATGTAAATCTACAGGAAATAATATCGCGAGATATTCAGGCCAAGAAGGTATTCTTGAGGAATTTTGCACTTTTGAATTGGACTCTTGTTAGGAAAATGTCTCAAAGGTTAATCGAGCAGCAGGTGCAAACCTGCTTAGTTTAGTTAAAGGAAACGTGATTTCTTCTGCTTCGCAAGAATTGAGTATCGCTTTTCTGACTGAGGGAAAGCATTTAAAACTTGACTTAAAACAAGGTTTAATACATTTAAAATAGATTGTCCTGATACAAATATTACCCTTTTAGCCTAATTTGGATTTCCATTGTTTACATGCCCACTATTTCTGTCCCTTTTCCTTTAAGTGCACAATGTAGATACTCTTCGCCTTCTTTAACTGTCGCTTCCAACTGATTAAGTCTCTAAAAGTCACGTTTTGTACCTACTGCATATAGCAACTATATAGCTCAAACGCAAAATCATACAGGAGCAGGAGAGAGGCATCACCTTAGAAATATGGAAGGGGGCCTCTACTCCTCTCCTCCTTGTATCAAAATGAAGATGAGAATAACTTGGGCTACTACTCAGGGTAAATTAAAAGAGATTTAAAAATTATATCTAAGGTGGAATAAGTTGTTTGAGTCGAACAGAGTTAATCCACATAAAAGACCTCCCAATCAGCAATTTGGAAGTTCTGACTCCCAGCTAAGATATTAGGTCGCGTCCATCTACTACCTGGAAAGGATGAGTAGGATCCAGAGCTGTATCGATCAAATTTTGTGTGTGATGGTGTACCGACGTTGGCGTTGTTAGCAATGAAGAGCTGATAGTTGTAGCCAAATGTTGGACCATAGCTGGACTGCTTGTAAATGGCATATTGTGGCTGTTTCACCATGCTTTTAAATGGGTTCAGTCCTCTTGAATTGTGAAGAGAGAATATGAAAGCTTTGGAAGTATAACCATATCCACTCCTAGAATCTGGCGAATAAAATAAATATTTTTTTTCCATCAGTCAACTTCATACTTCTCTTTTTCTTTGAAGGACTCACTCGGTCACTTTCGCATTGGTTTTCAACCTATCTGCTCCAATCATGCTCTGTGACTATAGCTCATACTCGTCATCAGAAATATTAATGCTCATCAATCACAAACAAAAAGCAAAAAGAAAACGAAAACGTTCTCGAAATACATCTGGGCATTTGCGTGCTATTTAGCTGGCCATGATTATTTTTTTTGTAAAGAATAAGAGATAAAATTGGCATAGCAAAAGATACCAATTAATTGGAATTATTTCATTTACCCCAGGGAATGTCCGTGTATCCTCCAAACACGTATTGTCCCACTTTTATGATAGTGACCGTGTTCCGCTTCCCATCACATCTGCTGTGGAAGGTACTGGCCGCCCAGCCGTGAGTACAAGCGCGGAAACACAGCAGCCACTGCGGATGACTTCCGACTGCGGGCGTCAGGAACTCGTGAAGTTGAGTCTGATAAAGGGCGTTCCCCCCTATTATTGCTGAATTCATCCAGGACTCTATAATTTAACAAAAATACAGCAAGCTGTCATATTTAAATTTTACCAAAGTGCAATGAGTTACGAAGTGGAAAGTCGAGAGAGAGAGAGACAGAGACAGAGAAGGAAGGAAGGGCGAAAACAATTTTTCTCACATTTATCGACAATTCCCTGTAAGTTGTTATTCTTTCATTTTGTTTCACTGTAGCATAATAACTGATTTTCACCGTCGCAGCAACAAGCCATCCATGAGTAGTGTGAGGGAGAACACCAGGTTTCTCCCACATAGAGGCGAATGATTCCCACATTCATTACGCAAGGAAGGAAATTAATTTATCACTGTGACTTTGCAAACTTAAATCTCACGACTCTGCACGCGTTAATGAAATCACAATTAAACCACATATGAAGAAATCGTTTATTCAGAGAAAGATGACTGATAGCGATGAATAAGTCAATCTAGGTTAAATCTTCGCTTTGTTGAATAAAAAGAAAAAGAAAATAATTCTTGGACGTTGCGTTTGTCTGTATGAATGAATAGATGGATTAATGGATGGCTGAAATTAATTATTTGCTCCTGACCTGGTGAGACGTAATTCAAGGTTGTCAACGCACTAATAGTGCCAAGTTTGTTGCCGGCTTTGCACTGATAAACACCGGCATCTTCAGGACTGAAGTTGGAGATGGTCAAGTTGTGTTTTGTAACAGAAGTTCGGCCTTTTGGTAAGGATAGTAGGCCTCTTGACCAGACAATCGTCGGTGGAGGAAAGCCAAATGCTCGGCAAGGGATGGAGGCGTCCGACTTTCCCATTACTCTTAGAAACCGATCTGGTCTCTTTGTGAACTCCGGAGGCACTAGATTGATGAAAAAGAAAGTATATAAACTTAAGTTCACATCGTCGTAGACATTTCGTAAAACTTTAAAACATTTGACATTTGTGCCAAAGGAAGACTGAAAGGAAGATTTCAGGTTATAGGGAACCTGAACGAATATCATTCTTTACTAAATTGAAGGCGAAACTAGCAAAGAAGTAAATTTGAATGACCAAAAAAGAAATCAGTGCTCGATTCAAAGCTGTGTGAAACTGGAAGTCCCCTAAAGTCTGTTACTTTACATCTGAGGCTTTTAAAATGTATTTGGCGTGTCAAAGGTTGTATCTCACCTTCCACAAAAAGCGTTACTTCTTTCTGCACTTTTCCTAATACATTTTCAGCCATGCAAACGTAACTCCCCGAGTCATTATACTCAACATTCCTGATCTGAAGTTCATTGCCGTGGCTGTCCAAATTCTCCATTCCCGTTTCATTAACTTTACTCCAAGTTACTCTGGGTTTTGGATTACCATCAGCTGAGCAGTTAAACGTGGCAGTCTGTTTCTCTGTGACTGTGAGTGACGCAGGAGATACGTTTATATCTGGAGCAAAAATAGACTCTCCTGGTTCACCTTTAGGTCCTGGATTTCCAGGATAGCCTGTGTCTCCTTATAAAACAAGGAAGTAAAAAAGTTTAGGTCGTGAGTTTGATTCTATTTAAGCTTCGACATCAACGATATGATTCATAAGGGATCAGTAAATTCAGTATTTCCAATATAAGATCTCGCGAGATTCAAGGAGTTGATCATCCAATTCTGATGAAAAATTGGCAAATTCTTACATTGCACGACTCTCTGAGCAGCTTTGTAATAAAAAAAGACAACTGTTTCAAATATATTCTCTTTAACTGCTAATAAATGGTCAGCCACAGGTTCACGGGTGTGGATGAGGATTGTGAAGTGAAATCGGAAAAGTTTGATAAATTTTTGCACTTCACTATAAAATGGTAATAAATGTGACCGAATAACCTGCAAACCTTTTTTATAGCAACAAGCAAAAATACGTCAAATACATTATTTCTATCTTGTTAAAAAAAGAACTCGATCTGATATTTAGGGTACCTTTTTGGCCTTTAATTCCTGGGTTTCCAGCATCTCCCTTTATTCCATCTACCCCAGGGTCTCCTCGCAATCCAGGTTTTCCAGGGCGGCCCTCTGGACCTTCTATACCGTCCTTTCCTGGAATTCCCTCTGGTCCAGGGGGACCTGCCATACACAATTTCTTCGTGGGTTGGCAATAAGACTCGATAGATTCAGTGATAAGAGAGGCCATGTACTTTTTTATTGCAGTATCAGCTTCTTCTGAATCGCCAGAAACGTTGCGCTGGGCACTTAAACTTCGACGTACAATTTTACTGCTGTACTTGATGACTTGAAAAAAAGAAGATATTTCTTGTTAAATTCCGTACGTGGCTACGCCACAATCTATGACGAATTCATTAAAATTATTGCAATATGAATGTTTTTGTGTTTGGGCACATCTAAATCTTAAGTAAAGTTCTGGTTAAGCCGAGCGACTGGTTGAGTAGGGCTGACCAAGAAGAGATCAAATAACTATTTTGGAAAAAGAAATAAAGACTTGCAGTTCTTCATCACGACAGATAAATATTTTTAGGTATAAGTGTTTTTATAGAGGTTGCTCTGGCTGTGGCCTTTAGCGACGCGGATTAGCTTCAATTATGTTCTATCGCGTGACTCGGGGCCATCTTTAAAGATGAACCTTTAAAAGTAAAAGCGAAAAATTCGGGATAACTTCTGTGGTAGTGATTCATTAGGTATAAGAAAGGCCTGCTACCGACCTTTTAATTTATTATCCCGTTCTACGTGTGCAAAACGCACCAAAACATGCCACTAATGTGGTTACTGAGCCATGCAGGATATTTGAATAAGTTGACCTAGATGAGTATTGTGCTGATTAAAGAGAAAAAAAAAAAGAGGAGAATAAGAGACATCAGAGGTACACATATGGTCCAAGTAAGCTTAATGATGAAAATGTCCTTACTAGAAATCTTCCTTCTGAAATGGAACTAAAGTTGAATCTAGCTGCATGCAGAGGGGACTGGTTGTAATATAAACCGGACCAAACTTTGATCAAGGTCACCAAAGGTCTGTCTGTAAGTCGAATAGTAGCATGAGTGACGACTGTTCTAGATCCGCTCCCGCACTGCCTTATCTCCTAATCCCTCCAGCGCTATTTTGCTGTTTGTTATCTCATAGATTTAGAAGGAATCGCACGTTTGCATCGCAGATAAGTCTAAGACTTTCAGGTCACAATTATAACTTGAATATCTATTAACAAATTCCCTCAAATTGTGCACCATGAAGAGTCAAGATTACGTAAGATTCTACCAAAAGTAAAAAAAAGGAAAAGAATGTCCTCCAATGCAAATATCTGGCTTTAAGCCCAGAACGATCTCTGGAATTGAGTGAGAGTGGATTTTAAATCATTATATCCATATGCATAAGATGATGCGTTATTGTTAAATCAACACCGACAGCAAATGTGCACAGCCTGTGTATCATTTCTGAGATTATCACCAATATTATGACTGTTGATACAAGCTGCCTTGATAATGACGTACGTGAATCTTACAGCAGTAAGAGAAAATACATAAAAGTTATACCACCTACCACTTGAAGCATCAAGATGGTCGTTTACACGGTTGGGGAAGCGAGCATCTTTTACCGATTTCAGAGTTTCCTTGATCTCTTGGATTTCAAGGGTGACCTTAACTTCCAACATTTGCGTGCTGATCTCCATTCTTAGGAACAGCGCAATTGTTAGGAGAATTGCAAGAACTGACAACACCAAGGAAGCCTTGTGAAGATTATTGCATTTCTTTGAATGACTCACTTTTGTTTCATCTACGTGTACATCCATTTCTGTTCAACGACTTTCAATTCTGGGAAATGTCGTGCGCGAGAACTTGATTGAGCTTGCTTCCAAATGAAAACAACCTACCAAACCGAGAACAAAGTGGAATATAATCCTTGATTTCATAAGATCGCCTCTTGCAAAGAAAACAGCGAATATTATATTACCATTAAAAAAAACAGGCGCCTGAAATGTCACAACCTGTAGCGAGGAAACCTTTTCAAACTCTTTTTATGAGTGGATCTTTCATTTGCGATTTTTCTATTCATTTTTTGTATTCGACTTCTTCTCACAATTTTGGTTTTTACACCAAATGTATTCAAAGTTTAGTACGCAGTGTTTCATCGAATAAGCGCCCAGGTGCACATTTCAAATTAGGAGGGGCGCTTATTGGAACGAGGGCGCCTCATCAAGGAGGTTGCGGGGAGGGGGTGGGGCTTATTAGGTCAGCGCATTGGTAGGACAAAAACGTAAGAACAGATAACGTACTCAAAGGAAACTATAGAGATAGAAATAACGGGAACGAAGAAGAAACCATTCTCCTGTACTGATTCTGCTGTAGTTGAATCGTAAAAAGTTGTAAATAAAGTGGCAATAGAAAGAAGTTTGCCTTTTGTACGTACCATTAAGAAAGTGAGGGAGAAGGGGGGGGGGAGTGGTGGTTATTCGAGAGGGTATTCGGGGAAGGGCGCTTATTCAAGGGAAAACGATATGTCTTGTAGGACAGACCTGACAGTTAGTGGAGTTTACGGTCATTTCAGTCTGTCCAAATGTGAGCAGCTCGAGTAAAGCTCATCCGGTACTTGATAACCGCATTCCTTTTACGTTTTCGGTAAAACTCAAGCTTTAATTATTTCACCTTAGTAAAGTTCGTGTTGTCCGACAGGCGAACTTATTTGAATTTAGCTTGGCTGGCAATTTTTTACCTAGTTGAACCGTGACATACGTCATCCCTCAAACGTAATCCCTCAACTCTCGTCTATAGGCGTTGCCACTCATTCCAGCAGACTATAATCTGTTTAAAAATACAGATTGACATACATCATCTCAGTTTCTTTCGTTGTACAGTTTCATCCAGATTCAATATACTTACATGGAAGATCTAAGAATTTAGGACTTGAGCATTTTGCGCCAATCAATTCGAAATTTCGACACCTCCCCCCTCCTTCCCAACGGGCATTTGACCGTCGTCTGTTCCCGTGGGATTGGGGGATGCGAACTTTGCGTGGATGGGGTAGGACATTTGACATTTGTTGCGCGCCAACATTGCGCAAAAACTCTATGGAGCCTCCTCAAGAGGACGATTCTTTAAGGTCGCGTGATCAGTATCAAAACATACTATCCTTCGCACTAAGTAAGGCGAAGGTTCCCCTTGGTCAGTGCTCTAGAGTTTCATTACCGTAGAGAAATTCCCTAAGCAAACCAAAAGCTAACTTTTGACTACAGCATTGAAAGAATTAGCTGTTTAACAAGGGGCACGATTATTTTTCACCGAGAAGTCATCGGGCATTTGTATTACAAGTTGTTCCTTTCCTCAGAGATTGCTAAAGCAGAGGCTATCAAACGGAAAACGGATGAGTTTACTGTCATCTGATTCAAGTTCATCTCGAAAAGGGATTTTGGTTGAGAAAAACTCCCTTAGTTTAAGTGCAGCTTGGTGCAGCATAGTTGTCGACGCGTCTTCACAGTTCTTATGATCGTTTTAGCAGCGCTAGGTGCTATGGTCGATTCTTTCAAATTTTAAATACATCTATCAAACAGAAAACGTAAAAAGAAAATTGTACCACAGGCACTTTAAGCGTTTTGTATGGAAAAAAAGAAGAAGAAGGAAAAAAAAAGGCAACACAAAAATAAGGATAACTAATCAATGCCTCAGCGAGTACTTTTATTCAAAAGACTAAGGCCCAGTTCAAACAAATATGATTGTTGATGATAGTCGACGTTAGTTTCAACTTTCATTCAATATCATTGACCATCAATCATGTTTGCGTTAAAACGGTTCATGATAGTTGATGGTAGTTGACAAAATCAAACAAAAAGATCGCGTAATTTTAAACAAACATGACGCACGCTGAGGTCAGCAATTATTTCGGTGGCATTTAAAATTTTAGTCAAGAAATTGCGATTTGATTTCAAGATACTGAAGCCTACCAGGAGATGATAACAACGAACTACAAGACATTCTGAGAAATTTTGACGGCTTTTTTAGTCATTTTACCATTTTCCATTTCGGTTTGAGCCTGTTTTTGGCAAAACCGCTGACCTAAAAACTATCATTTACTATCATCGACTCGTTCAAACGGCAAAAACTATCATCAAGTATCAAGACGGATTTGAACATTTCTAAACTACACAACATTTAATGATAGTGCATGATAGTCCGTGTTCAAACGCGCGTTATAGTTAGCTATGATCAACATCATGACTCTTTGAATGAGGCTTAACTACATCCATAGCATGAAAGGGTAACTTTGGATGATCATTTTCAAGTGTGCTCGTGCAGGCCGTTGCAACATCTGCTGTTGAAAGTTGACCTCTTGAGTAAGATATTAAGGAAAAGGTATTTATGAAACGGAATGCGGCAAAAGAGTGTTATCCTTTATTCTCTTTAGCCCGTCTTCGACTTTGATTACATCTCAACCTTAGCCGTATTCATAAAAACTCGGTTTATTATCGTTCACGACTATTTTAAAGAACTTATCTCAAACTTCGATATCGTCCTTAGGAATGACTGAAGACAACTTAGTTATACTTATCTAAAGTTAAAAATAGGAGTTTGCTCGCGAGTTGTACTTTTCCTCCTTTGCATTACGTAATCGAATCAAGTGACTTCTGAGATTGGAATCTCGTTCTTCGCATATTATCTTTATATCGGTTTGAGGTATAAAATCTCCAACGTCTAGGAAAATTGTTGAACTATCTGTTTCATTCAAGATTAAATTATTTGGAAGTTCTAGGAATATTTTCGTTTCTTATCTAAATTAAGCCAAAAAATTTTTAACACTGACAAATCTCACGAATTTTACCCATCATGCAAACGTCAAGATTTACAAACTACCGTCGGGTGAAGCCCCTTAAATTTTTTTACCTTGCAATATCTGAAAGTAAAGCAAACAAAATCGCCCTTTTGCTAAACAATAAAACATCGGTGTTTGAGACTAGTTTTAAAAGGTCTGCTTTTCAGCTGACAAAGCCAAAAGGTAAATTGAATCGAAGTATGACACTATTTTACCGGGATTTGTAGTGGAAATATGAGATGGCAGTGTTGACTCAACCAAGATAGAAAACCTCCACCTCATCAGGTGTGAACTTATAAGTCCCAGCCAGTATTGTTTTTCGGTCCTTTATACCACTTGGGGGTGAATAAGAATGGCCAAATTTTGTGTAGGAGTCTGTGTTGCTGTTTGCATTATCTCTAATAACAATGTCGAATCCTCCACCAAATATGGGCCCATTGCTTGAACTCCTGTAAATAGCATATATTTGCCTAGTAATCAGGCTCTTGAATGGGGCCAGTCCTTCGTTATTTCGGAGTGAAAATATGAACGCCTTGGAAGTACTTGTGTAGCCACCACTAGACTCTGAAGAATAAGATGTGAACTAAACATATTATACATTGAATTTTAAGTTCCTAAGACCATGGAAAAAAAAAGCTCCGACAACTTTCCTAGTCGTTTAATTCTTTGGGAAACACGATGTGTTTAGGTATGCCGCAACTCTTATAGTGAGGATCTGATCGAAAGCTAACTGGCCTTTAAAGATTGGCGAAGAATAAGTTTTCTTCCCTTAGGTTCTAACTTTTTTTTTTAAACGAAAACTTGACAGTTACATTAAAGAAAACCGAGAGAAACATTTTCATACGTTTTGACTGCTTAATTATTTTTCCTTTCGTGAATTTATAACTTGTTCGATTATTTTTTGGGGTCAGGATGTCAAAGCCTAAGTTAGATTGTTACTTTAGATACACCTTTATGTCACTGGGTTACAATCAAAGCAGAGAATGAGAAAAATATATTCTTTTACCCCATGAAATGTCCGTGTATCCTCCAAACACGTACTGTCCAACTTTTATGATGGAAACTGTGTTCCGTTTCCCATCACACCTTCTGTGGAAGATACTGGCCGCCCAGCCGTGATAGGAGGCGCGGTAGCACAGCACCCATCGAGGATGACTTCCAACGTCAGGTTTTAAAAACTGTTGGAGTATGCTTTCATAAACCAAATTGCCTGCTAATATAGTCGAGCCTATTTGAGGTGCTGAAAAAAGGAAATAGGATACAACTTTTCTTGAAAAAAGCTTTGATGTCTTTGTTTTGATCAACCTGATAGTAGTTGGTCTAAGTGGGGTGATGGCTTTTACGGCTAACAATTAACATTTCGGCCATTTTACGGCTAACGATTGAGTTCCTTCCTTTGTGATTAATTAAAACCTCTTAACGGTTAACTTTTTGCGACACAATTAAATTGGTCATTTTTTACGCCTAACAGCTAAATATTTTCGTCATTTTACGGCTAACGGTTAAGCCCTTTGGGATCCTCTCAGTAACTTCGAACATTATGAATTCTATCGCAATGGAAAACATTTAATCAACGTCTAATTATACTCAGAAATAACAAGCAATGCAAATATTCCAAAATTTAAATATCTTTGGCATTAGCACCAGCTGATCCTTGATAAGCTTGTTCCTTTAGTAAGCATTTTTTTTCATCCTCATCTTTACTATCAAGGGAGACTTTGTACATTTTGCAGATATAAAGAATTTTTATAGGAGCGAAGTTTTTCCCCAGCAAAGCTGTCACCGACTATTGCATAGAAATAATATTGAAAATAAAGAAAAAACAATTTTTCTTTAGTTTAATTAATTTTTAGCTGCACAATTTTGAAGCATACGAGTGAAGAACGCATCTCATTGTCAATTTTTATCTTAGTCAGCCGCAAGGGGCGAAATATGCCGTGATATATTATGCAATCCATAGCTGCCAGTATTTAAACGAAAAAAGAGGCGATAACGCAATTGTAAACAGTGGCGTGTTCAACAAGACAAGAATCTTTTGAATCTGAACAGAGGTATTAAGGTTTAATTTAAGGAAAACAAGTTTGAAATGTTCCTTAAGTCGCTGAAAGGGTATAAAAACCTAAGTGAGTGTGATATCTTGTGGATTCGGACCTTCACCTTTCTCTTGGTTTTCGTAACACTCACCTACATACTGTAGGTGAGTGTAGGTGGCACTTGGAACAAATAGAATTTAAATAACTTCATTTACTGAAGTCGACTGTTAGCAAAGGATGGCGTTCCATTCCTGTTGAATATAAACCTTCCTTGAAATAAAGAAAAATTTTTAACTAAAATTAAACCTTATATTTCCTGACCTTGCTCATCATAATCTAATGTTGTTAGGACACTAACAGATCCAAGCCTATTGCTCGCTTTACACTGATATGTACCACTGTCTAAAGGACCAAAGTTGACTATAATAAGGGTGCCATTCTTAGCAATCGTGGTCCGGCCTTGCGGTAACGGGACAAATCCTCTCGACCAAACTATAGTTGGTGGCGGAAAACCAAAAGCTCGGCAACGAACAGAGGCGACTGAGTTCGCAGGGACTTTAGTTAGCCTCTCAGGAGTATGGATGAATCGTGGAGGAGCTAAATTTAAAAAGGACACCAACATCATGAATTGATAATGTAAACTAACAGTAACGAACTAATCACTGGTATTTGTTTATCGCCCGGACTAGAATGACCTGTATATACCATTATCCATTATCAGCATCACCTTCAACGGTGAGTTTCACCGTCTTCTGAGCTTTTCCTAAGATGCTTGTGGCCACGCAAACATAGCTTCCTGAGTCGTTATGAGCAACATTTTTGATCTGCAATGTATTATCGTGACCGTTCATATTGACTTGTCCTGCACCACTCATTTTACTCCAAGTTACTCTGGGTTTTGGATTGCCATCAGCTGAACAACTAAACGTGGCGGTCTGGTTCTCAGTGATTGTATGTGAGGCAGGATAAACATAAACGTTTGGAGCAGATATGGACTGGCCAGGTTCACCTTTAGGTCCCGGATGACCAGGAACTCATTTGTCGCCTTAAAGAATATACACAGGCATGTAACAAACGCCTTAACTGAAATTTAGGGAAATGTCTTACAACTGTCGGAGCGAAATTATTTGGCGTAGTAAAGATTGGCTCTAGAGACGTGGAGGAAGCCTGCTCACCCTTGGGCGCAGATCGCATCCATTTTACACTCTATGATAGATTTGTACTCGACAATGAACCTCCATATTTTTCTTGATTTTTTTGAGATTTTGCTAGCCTTGGCATCGTATCAGAAACTTATTATTCAAAGCTAAATTTGTTAACTATATTAGACTTATAGATTACGACCAAATCCTATCCCAAAAAAAAACCGCCACATAAAACCTGGTGAAGTATTTTTCCACAAGTTAAAGATACATTTCTTGTAATAGATAACATTATGTCTCAACCAAAAGACGCTTATGATCTTTTTGTTTCAATCTTACAATTGTGGTTTTAGATTCCAGCAAAATTTCCACTCATTTTGTTCCTAATGAAAATGACTATTATGAATAAGGAAAGACAGAAGTAAAGTGTCAATAGCTCTTAATTCATACCCTTTTCTCCCTTCATTCCACGATTTCCAACATCTCCTTTCAATCCTGGTTTGCCTTTCTCTCCCGTTTTACCCTTAGATCCCCTTGGACCTCGTTTACCGCGATTTCCCGGAATTCCTCTTGGTCCCCGAGGTCCTGCCACACAGAATTTACCAGGGGAGAGGCAGTAAGTCCCTATGGACTCAGTTACAATAGAGGTCACGTACTTCCTGAAACCAGTGTCGGCCTCTGCTTGATTAACTGAGTCGTTCCGGTTGGTCGTTAAGCTGCGGTGAACAATTTTGACGTCTTGTTTCCTACCTAAAGAAAACGGCAAGGGTTAATCGGTTTTGTTTTGTTTTTTTTTTTTTAACATTGATTATATCAGACTTAAGCTTCACAAAGTGCTTTTTATTCCATGACCGAAACAAGGAAAACACGTTTTTTGCTACGTATTTTGTTCGGAAATCTTTTGTTTAAATCCTTTTCAACAGAGGACGAGTCGAAGAGAAGCCATTGATTCGTTTGAAAAAATCTATTGAAAGATAAGTATACAATATGCAGTCGTGACTTGTTTAAATAAACGGGTCAAGTTTCTGATTAAGGTCAAATCTGTGTTGTCAAAACTTCTCTCGAAATATCGCAATCAAGAGAAATGCACGAATACATTTCTGTTGTTCATGGCCTGATTTACATTAAAATGTAATACACACAAACATCTCATAAGGTGGATTTTCTTAAGTCCATCAAACGTATGGACTTGGTTATCTATTGTTTGCTTTGACTAAAAGCGGTGGCAACTGAGTGCGCCCGGCTTACTTTCGTATGGACCAGGACAGTTCGAGTTCAAGCGACGCGCAGTTGTTAAGAAAATTTTATACTAAATTACCAACCGTTTGAAATGTCTCGGTCTTCACGAAGAACTTGGCAAGCAGCCCTCATAGATTCGAGAGCATCCCCCATTCCTTGAATTTTCAGAGTAAATTTTGAATCCAGCATTTTTGTGTTTGTCTCCGATCTAACAAAGAGAGACACCGTCATCAGAATGGCCGCAACAGACAACAGCGATGAAGCCTTTTGAAGACAGTCACCAAGTTTTTGACTTGATGAAATTTTCGTTTTCTGTGCGTTGATATCCATGGTGTTTTCCCTGCGTGCCTTGCTGTAAGTAAAAAAGGCACGAAACAAATTCGTCAAACTCAGCAGTACTGATGATCATACAATTACTGCACAAGGTTTTGTTTACCGTTTCAGCCCTCAAGAAACTGCGGAATGAAGGAGCGCTACAGTTAGTTGTATCCAAAGTTGGAGGCAGTCCAAATTCTTTACGAGTTTACTATAATCCGGCTTCGTGCATCATTCAGTGTCAATAATAAAGACATGGGTAATTAGTTCTATCGTCGGCGTGTAGTTTTTAGCATTTCTCCAATATACTTACCATCTAACAAGGGTAGATTTTCCTCTCGGTTTTCGTGCTTCCGTCCTTCTAATAAAGAAACCTTAGTAGTTAGAGGCGACCTTTTCACGTGATGTTGTCTGTCATCAGTTTTTTGTCACAGCGGAGTACTTGAAGGTTTATGCGTACGGACCACACAGTTACCACAGCTGAAAGTATTGAATGCATTGTTTGTGATCTTATTCAGAAGTACCCTTGATTTTCAAGCTAGCTTTTGATCAACTTGCACTTTGCGTCCCAAGCAAAATTTGTTTTATGTCAGGATTCAACCAAACAGGATGTTCTAAACTGAAAATATTTTAACAAAAGTGTGACATTTGTATGTGTTTCTGTTCGACGACTATCAGTTCTAGGAAATGTCGTGCGCGAGAACTTGATTGAGCTTGCTTTCAAATGAAAGAAACATACCAAACCGAGAACAAAGTGGAATATGATCTTCGATTTCATCAGATCGCCTCTGGCAAAGAAAAAAGCGAATATAATATTACCATTAGAAAAAAACAGGCGCCTGAAATGTCACAACCTGTAGCGAGGGAATCTTTTCAACTCTTTTTTTATGATCGGATCTTTCATTTGCGAGTTTTCTCGGGGGGAGGGGGGGAGGTGCTTATTAAGTTAGCGCAGCAGTAAGACACAAATTTAAAGAACTGATAACGTACTCAAAAGAAACTACAGAGATAGAAATAACTGAAACGAAGAAGAAACCATCCTCCCGTACTGATTCTGCTGTAGTTGAATCGTAAAAAGTTGGAAGTTAAGTGGCAATGGAAAGAGGTTTTGCCTTTATATACCATTAAGGAAGAGAAGGGAGAGGTTATTCGAAAGGAGTGCTTGCCGACATTATGGTCTTGAAGGTGGGAGGGTATTCGGTGGAGGGCGCTTATTCGAGAAAATACGATGTGTCTTGTAGGGCAGATCTGACAGTTAGTGGAGCTTCTGGTCATTCTAGTCCGTCCAACTGTGAGCAGCCCGTCAAAGCTCCTCCGGTCTTTGATAACTTCATTCCCTTCACGTTTTCGGTAAAACTCAAACCTTAATTATTTCATTTCAGTAAAGATCGTGTAGTCCGACAGGTGAACTTAAAGCTTTCTTAATTTGAATGTACCTTGGCTTGCAATTATATTACTTAGTTGAACCATGACATGCGTCATCTCTCAAATCTCTAGGCGCTGCTACTCATTCCAGTAGACGAATAATCTATCTCAAAATACAGATCAACATACATCATGTCAGTTTCTTTCGTTGTCCAGTTTTATCCAGACTCAATATACTTACATTCAGGATGTAAGAATTTAAGACACGAGCATTATGCGCCAATCAATTCGAAAGTTCGACACCTCTCCTCTCCTCCTCAACGGGTTTTTGACCATCGTCTGTTCCCGAGGGGTTTGGGGATGTGTACTTTGCCTGGGTGGGGTGGGACATTTGAATTGGACCTTTGAATCCTTCCAGCGTAATACACGTGTTTTATCAGGTAATATGGGGATGTACAAGAAAATAGTTTACTTTAGCGAGAAGAGGACTATAGAGAAAAGGTCTACAAGAAAGTCGCAGTCGACAATCAGATCTGATGGCTTTTAGTGACCTAGAAGAACGAAAACATAAAAATTTTCCAGAAAAACAATACGCTGGCGCGCGCGCCAACATTGCGCAAAAACCCTATGGAGCCTCGTCAAGAGGACCATTCTTTATGGTCGCGTGATCAGTTGCTTTGGGTTGTTATGTTTGCTTCTGTGGTCATAACATACTATCCTTTGCACTAAGTATGGCGAAGGTCCCCATTGGTCAGTGCTCTAGAGTTTCGTTGCTGTAGAGAAATTCACTAAGCAAACCAAAAGCTAACTTTTGACCGCAGCATCGAAAGAATTAGCTGTTTAACACGAGGCACGATTATTTATTCTCTCCAGCCCGTCTTCGACTTTCATTGATTACATCTCAACCTTAGCCGTATTCATAAAAACTCGGTTTATTATCGTTCACGACTATTTTAAGGAAATTATCTCAAATTTCAATATGGTCCTCAGGACTGGAAATAACTTAGTTATAATTATCTAGAGTTAAAAATAGGAGTTTGCTCGCGACCGTTGTACTTTTCCTCCTTCGCATTACGTAATCGAATCACTTCTGAGATTGGAATCTCGTTCTTCGCATATTATCTTAATGGAATAAAATCTCCTCCATCTAGGAAAATTGTTAGAACTATCTGAATCATTCAAGAATAAATTCTTTGGAAGTTCTAGGAATATTTTCGTTTCTTATCTCTAAATTAGGCCAAAAATATTGTAACACTGACAAACCTCACGAATTTTACCCATCATGCAAACGTCAAGATTTACAAACTACCGTCGGGTGAAGCCCCTTAAATTTTTTTACCATGCAATATATGGAAGAAAAGCAAACAAAATTGTTCTTTTGCGAAACAATAAAACATCAGTGTTTGAGACTAGTTTTAAAAGGTCTGCTTTTCAGCTGATAAAGCCAAAAGGTAAATTGAATCGAAGTATGTCACTATTTTACCGGGATTTGTGGTGGAATTATGATATAGCAGTGTTGACTCAACCAAGATAGAAAACCTCCACCTCATCAGGTGTGAACTTAAAAGTCCCAGCCAGGATTGTTTTTCGGTCCTTTATACCACTTGGGAGTGAATAAGAATGGCCAAAGAGTGTGTAGGAGTTTGTGTTACTGTTTGCATTATCTATAATAGCAATGTCGTATCCTCCACCAAATGTGGGCCCATAGCTTGAACTCCTGTAAATAGCATAATAAGACACAGTAACCAGGCTCTTGAATGGTGCCAGTCCTTCGTTATTTCGGAGTGAAAATATGAACGCCTTGGAAGTACTTGTGAAGCCACCACTGGACTCTGAAGAATAAGATGTGAAATAAACATATTATACATTGAATTTTAAGTTCCTTAGACCATGGAAAAAAAAAACTCCGACAACTTTTCCAGTCGTTTAATTCTTTGGGAAACACGATGTGTTTAGGTATGCCGCAACTCATATAGTGAGGATCTGATCGAAAGCTAACTGGCCTTTAAAGATTAGCGAAGAATAAGTTTCTTCCCTTAAGTTTAACTAAACGTTTTTTTAGACGGGAACTTGACAGTTACATTAACTAAAAAAGAGAGAAAAATTTTCATACGTTTTGACTGCTCAATTCTTTTTCCTTTCATGAATTTATAACTTGTTCGATAATTTTTTTGGGTCAAGATGTAAAAGCTTAGGTTAGATTGTTACTTTAAATACAACTTTATGTCACTGGATTACAATTAAATTAATTACACTTTATTTCACTGGATTACAATCAAAGCAGAGAATAAGGAAAAGATATTCTTTTACCCCATGAAATGTCCGTGTATCCTCCAAACACGTACTGTCCAACTCTTATGATGGAGACTGTGTTCCGTTTCCCATCACACCTTCTGTGGAAGATACTGGCCGCCCAGCCGTGAGAGGAGGCGCGGTAGCACAGCACCCATTGAGGATGACTTCCAACTGCAGGTTTCAAAAACTGATAGAGTTTGCTTTTATAATCCAAATTGCCTGCTAATATAGTCGAGGCTATTTGAAGTGCTGAAAAAAGGAAATAGGATACAACTTTTCTTGAAGAAAGCCTAAAAGTTTTTGTTTTGATCAACCTGTTAGCAGTTGCATATCAAACTCATGGGGTACAAATAGTCTTAAAATGAATGTAGCGACCACGCCCACTTCAACACCCCACTCAAATCGAGTGTAATTTTCGAATGTTTTACCACTGTGCGGATTCTCTACGGAAAAAGCACTCAATGTACCTCTGAAATATTAAACTATAATATTGTGGCTTTCTATTTCGCTAATTTTCTAACTTGAAGGTAAAGTTTTTCCCTCGTCATTTTTACCTTTTCTCCGAGCGGTTGCGTGAAATTAACAAGGCGTTTCTTATCAAAACACGACCGAGCGAAGGGTCTCGGGCGATATCTCTTTTACGCAGGCGCAAATTAAAAATGTACCGCCAGAATCAGAAAGAAGAACAAATTTCCTTTGTTTTGATATGTAAAGTGTCGAACAAAAAGCAGATTTACCCTCGTCAAATGGCGTTTCAAAACAGCTGTATCTTCCTCCTTTTGATTTTTTCCTGTTTTGTAAGCGTAAAAGCAGTAGGAGAGGAATTGGGAAACTCAGAAAGCGCTTCGGGAATTAGTCTGCCATCGTTTACTTACAAGATAAACTAGTAAGATTTGTGAAGTTCGTTGAAGTACGAAGTCTAAATAAATGCTCTTTTTAAGCTTGTTTGCTGGATTTTTCGTAAACATCCCTGATTAGTTTTTCGTTTCAGCTTACTAGTCTATACTATTTCAAAGCAATGTAAAGACGAAGACGGAGAACCATGAGTCGGTCCTTTCAACAATCGTAAACAAAGTGTTTGAGCAATCAGGTATATGAGGTGTAATAATCAATAGCCGCACATTAGAAGTCTTCAGAAAGAAAGTATTCTGTCTTCAGAAGGCTGTCAAGAAAGCTAGTGATCGTGGCGGAAGGCAATTAATGCGCTTCTAAGCAAGTTGGAAACGGGCTTTCGGTATCGATTTAATATCATATCGATCTCAGTATCATACAGTTTTGTATCTTTCCTCCGTGGATTCGCCTTTCTAACGAGGGTTTATGTTGAGTATTCATTGCAAAATCGCTTTGTTTTTTTCTTTCTTTGGCTTGTCCGCCATTTTGAAATTCGTAACGGAGAGCATGCGCATTACGTGGGGTTAGTTGTTGCGTACACCTGGAACCGAGAAAAACAAATGTTCGTCGCACTGGGGAAAGAGTTTGATATGTTTCAGTGGGGTGATGGCTTTTACGGCTAACAGTTAACATTTTGGCCATTTCACGGTTAACGATTGACTTCCTTCCTTTGTGATTAAATAAAACCTTTTTACGATTAACGTTTTTTTACGCCAAACAGCTAGAAATGTTTGCCATTTATGGCTAACGGTTAACGGATCTTCTTAGTAACTTTGACCATTATGAATATTGTCGCAGGGGAAAACGATAAATCAAAGTCTAACTATAATTAGAAATAACAAGCGATGCAATTTTTCAAAAATTTAAATATAAATGGCATCAACACCAGCTAATTCCTTACAAGTTTGTTTCTCTAGTAAGCATTTTTTTCATCCTCATCTTCATTATCAAGCGAAAGTCTGTACACTTTGCAGATATAAAGAATTTTATAGGAGCGAAAATTTTCCCTACGAAGCAGTCAACCACTTTTGCATAGAAATTATACTGAAAATTAAGAAAAAAATTTCTGGTGATTTGTCTTTGGTCTAATTAATTTTTAGTTGTACAATTTTGGAACATATGAGTGAAGAACGCATTTCGGTGTCAATTTTTTATCTTAGTCAGTCAGAAGCGGTCAAATATACCATGAAATGTTATCAGTAAAACTTAAAGGGGGATGCTACCCATAGTTGCCTGTATGTAAACAAAAACAGAGGCGATAACACAAATGTAAACAGAGGCGTGATCAACATGAATCTTTTGAATTTAAACAGGGGTGTTAAAGTTTACTGTATGGGTAACAAGTTTGAAATGTTCCTTACGTCACTGAGAGAGTGTAAAAACCTAAGAGAGTGTGAGATCTTGTGGATCCGGACCTTCACCTTTCTCTTGGTTTTCGTAACACTCACCTGTATACTGTAAGTCATGTAGTAGGCTCTTAGAACAAATAGAATTTGAATAAATTCATTTAATGCAGTCGACTGTTGGCAAAGGATTGCGTTCGCTTCCGGTTGCATATAAACCCTCCTTGAAATAATGAAAAAAATTTTAGTTAAAATTAAAAACGTAAGTTTCCTGACCTTGTTCATCATAATGTAAGGTTGTTAGCACATTAGCAGATCCAAGCTTGTTGCTGGCTTTACACTGATATGTACCACTGTCTAGAGGACCAAAGTTGGTGATAATAAGGGTGCCATTCTTAGTAATGTTGGTCCGGCCTTGCGGTAATGGGACAAATTCTCTCGACCAAACCATAGTTGGTGGTGGAAAACCAAAAGCTTGACAACGAACAGAGGCGACTGAGTTCGCAGGGACTTTAGTAAGCCTCGCGGGAGTATGGATGAAACGTGGAGGAGCTAAATTTAAAAGGAAACCAACATTATAAATTGATAACATAAACTGACTTTAACGAACCAATTACTGATTCGTTTATCGCCCGGGAAGGAGGAGGGGAAGGTTAAAGGATTTTGAGGGGAGAGGGGGGAGGCTCACGGTTTTCAGGAAGAAAGGAGGGGGAATCGGCCGTCACCAACAGAGTATATGACTGCTTCCCTAGGAATGACGCGCGACATCAAGTATTTCCATTGTCAGCATCACCTTCAACTGTAAGTTTCACCGTCTTCTGAGCTTTTCCCATGATACTTGTGGCCATACAAACATAGCTTCCTGAGTCGTTATAAGTAGCATTTTTGATCTGCAATGTATTATCGTGACCGTTCATATTGACTTGTCCTGTACCGCTCATTTTACTCCAAGTTACTCTGGGTTTTGGATTGCCATCAGCTGAACAGCTAAACGTGGCGGTCTGGTTCTCAGTGATTGTATGTGAGGCAGGAGAAACATCAACTTTTGGAGCAGATATGGACTGGCCAGGTTCACCTTTAGGTCCTGGATGACCAGGAACTCCTTTGTCGCCTTAAAGAATATAGACAGGCATATAGCAAACGCTTAAACGGAAGTGTAGGGAAATGTCTTACAACTGTCGGAGCGAAATTATATGGCGTAGTAAAGATTGGCTATGAAGACATGGAGGAAGCCTGCTCACCCTTGGGTGCAGATCGCATCCATTTTGCATTTTATGATAGATTTGTGCCCGACAATGAACCTCCAGATTTTTATTTTTAATTTTTTAAGATTTTACTAGCCTTGGCATCTTATCAGAAACTTATTGTTCAAAGTTAAATTTGTTAACTATATTAGACTTACGGATTACGAACAAATTCCATCCCAAGAAAAAAAAAAAAAGAAATTAACCGCCACAAGTTGAAGATACATTTATTGTAACAGATAACAATTTGTCTCAATCAAGAAACGCTTATGATCTCTTGGTTTCAATCTTGCAATTGTGGTTTTTAGATTCCAGCAAAATTTCCACTCATTTTGTTCCTAATGACAATGACTATTATATATGAATAAGGAAAGACAGAAATAAAATGTCAATAGCTCTTGATTCATACCCTTTTCTCCCTTCATTCCAGGATTTCCAACATCTCCTTTCATTCCTGGTTTTCCAGATTTGCCAGGTGATCCCATAATGCCTTTCCCTCCCGTTTTTCCTTTAGATCCCCTTGGACCTCGTTTACCGCGATTTCCCGGAATTCCCCTTGGTCCCCGAGGTCCTGCCACACAGACTTTACCAGGGGAGAGGCAGTAAGTCCCTATGGACTCAGTTACAATAGAGGTCATGTACTTCCTGAAACCAGTGTCGGCTTCTGCTTGATTAACTGAGTCGTTCCGATTAGTCGTTAAGCTGCGGCGAACAATTTTGACGTCCTGTTTTCTACCTAAAGAAAACGGAAAGGGTTAACCGTTTTTGTTTTGCTTTTTTTTTAACATTGATCATATCAGATTTAAGCTTCACAAAGGGCTTTTTATTCCATGACCGAAACAAGGAAAACACGTTTTTTGCCACTTATTTTGTTCGGAAATCTTTTGTTTAAATCCTTTTCAGCAAAGGACGAGTCGAAGAGAAGCCACTGATTCGTTTGAAAAAATCTATTGAAAGATAAGTATACAATATGCAGTCGTGACTTATTTCAATAAACGGGTCAAGTTTCTGATTAAGGTCAAATCTGTGTTTTCAAAACTTCACTCAACATATCGCAATCAAGAGAAATGCCCGAATACATTTCAGTTGTTCATAGGCTGATTTACATTAAAATGTGATACACACAAGCACTTCATTGGATTGATTTTCTTAAGTCCATCAAATGCATGGGGTTGGTTATCTGTTTTCTTTGACTAAAAGTGGTCGCAACCGACTGCGCTCGGCTTACTTTCGTATAGGTCTAGTACAACCCCGCCAACCAAACGCTTATTCGTCGAGTTCAAGCGACGAGCAGTTGTTAAGAAAATTCTCTTCTAAATGACCTACTCTTGAAAAGGTCTGAGTCTTTACGAAGAACTTGGCAAGCAGCCCTCACAGATTCGAGAGCATTCCCCATTTCTTGAATTTTCAACATAAATTTTGAATCCAGCATTTTTGAGTTTGTCTCCGTTCTTACAAAGAGAGAAACCGTCATCAGAATGGCTGCAACAGACAACAGCGACGAAACCTTTTGAAGACAGTCACCAAGTTTTCCTCTTGATGGAATTTTCGTTTTCTGTGCGTTGACATCCATGATGTTTTCCTTGCGCGCCTCGCTGTAAGAAGAAAAGGCACAAAACAAACTCGTCAAACTCACGGTACTGATGATCATTAAATTACTGCTCAAGGTTTCGTTTACCGTTTCAGCCCTCAAGAAACTGCGAAATAAAGAACCACTACGGTTAATCGCATTCAAAGTTGAAGGCAGTCTAAATTCTTGATGAGTTTTATAATAATCCGGCTTCGTGCATCATTCAGTATCAATGATAAAGACATTGGTAATTAGTTCTTTCGTCGGCGTGCGGTTTTTAGCATTTCTCCAATATACTTACCATCTAACAAGGGAAGATTTTCCACTCGGTTTTTCCGCTTCCTTCCTTCTAATAAGGAAACCTTAGTAGTGAGACGCGGCCTTTTCACGTGATGCTGTCTGTCAGTTCTTTGTCACAGCGTTGTACGTGAGGGTTCATGTGTACGGAAGTTATCACAGCTGGAAGTATTTAATATTTTGTTTGTGATCTTTTTCAGAAGTAGTCCTGATTTTCAAGCTAGCTTCTGATCAACTTGCATTTAGCGTCTCAGGAAAAATTTGTTTTATGTCGGGATTCAACCAAACGGGATGTTCTAAACTGTAGATATTTTTAACGGAGGTGTGACATTTATTTGCGTTTTGATCTTAGACGACCTACTTCATCATGGTATCTATTACAGTTTCAGCAAAATTTTCATCAATTTCCATTATATATATATATATACCGTCTAAAACTGAAGTGTCCATATTCCTTTCAGTTTTCGTGTTTCTGTTCATCAAAGAACGAAACCTTACAAGTTTGAAGCGAGTACGCGAGCGTTCATCGGTTTACGGAGACTTGCAGACCTGATAGGAACGTCATCCTTCCCTCGTAATCTTTCTTAGAACCTGTCTTGATTGTCAAGTTAACCTCTGTACAAGCTTGGGCTTAGTATTCTAAAAATAAAATTGGCTAATCAACCTATTTTTATCTTCATTCTGAGGAACAGCGCGATTGTTGAAATTGCAAATACTACCGACAACACCAAGGAAGCCTTTTGAAGCTTATTGCATTTCTTAGCATGTCTCACTTTTATTTCATCTACGTGTACATCCATTACTGTTTGACGATTAACAATTCTGGGATAATGTAGTGCGCAAAAAACTTGATTGAGCTCAGCTTTCAAGAGGGAGAAAAAGCCTATCAAACCGGTAACACAGGTGAAACATGATCATTTATTTCATCAGATCGACTGTCTCAAAGAAAACAGCGAATATAATAGTATCATTAAAAAAAACACAGGCGCCTGAAATGTCATAACCTGTCACTCAAATGGTTGGAGTTACCAGGGATTCAGGCAAGGAAAATCAAGGGGTTTGAGTTAGCTGAGTCTAAGTTAACAGGGTTCCACTGTGTGCCTCTCATGAGCCACTAAATAGATAAACATTAAAGGCATTTGATCTGGAAATATCCTTTTTCACTTCTCTGCATTCATGAGGTTGTTGGCGGAATAATACTGCTGGCATGTAAAGTGGTGGGTGTCAGTGGAGCCACTGTCGTTCCCGGGATTTTGGCCCTCTTGTGGTAGACATATATATCCGAGATAATAGCCTGGAAAATGATACAAATGCCTACAAATGCCATAAAAGTTATCTTCTTGGCTTCCTGGAAAATGGAAAAAAATAAGATAGATGTCAGAATTCTTGGTCTTCAGAAGGGAACAAAGAAAACTTTGATTCAACATTCTGAAGATTCGAACTTCAGCCAGTTCTGATTTATCAGTCAGATGCTCCACTACAGCAAATGCTTTAGGAAGTTGCTGCACATCCTTCAAGAAGTTGTGTCAGAAAACTCCTAAAACCATCCAATTCTGGCCTTTGCTGCTACACAATTCCCTGTAAATTAGTTGCCAGAATTTGGTGTAACATTAAGATAAAGAGTTAACCCCTAGAAGTGGCTAACATGTAACTTATCCTTATGATATCCATAAGTATTTGAGCAAACGGTCCATGAGAATCACTGAAACTTATCAGGTAGAAGTTGTTATCTTGATCAAACACCAAATTCTCTTAACTAAATTACAAGGAAACATTTAGAAGCTAGAGGGGAGAATTATGGATCAGATCTTGGGACTAAAAGGGTTAAAGGGTTAATGTGTATATTAATTTTGTAGTGTTAAATGTCGACTCAAAACCAATTAAATCCAAATAAACAAAATAATTGTTTACTCACAATAATTCCTTTGTGATACCACCAAGTCTAGAGAAAAAAAAATATATTTACATCCATTAATTAATGTGAACAAAAAAAACCCTGCTTAATTTCACTACAAAGATAATTTGAACATTTAGTTTCTTGCAGTTCTCCACACCCAAAAAAGATATAAATTCTTGCATATAGTTAAAAATAATTTTATAATTAAAATTAGTGACAAGGTTAGATCATCAGATCAAGACTGAGGTGAAGTACTTACAATAATGCCTCCAATCACACTACTAACTGTAAAACAAGAAAAGGAAATACGTGTTATTATTTTAATAAGCTGATAAAAACTTCTAGTTTTGTGTGTTCATAGCTCAAATTTTATTTGCTGCATGATGGTTAGGATATGATAAAATACATAGGAATTGTAATTGTAGATGTCATCAAAAACACTCACAGTAATTTGTTTATGATTCAGGGACTGTAACTACTTATTCTGCTTACTGAAAAACAATGATTTATGCGTTTATAAGCAAAGAGAATTTCAGGTAATACAGTAAATCGCAAAATAGATGCATATCCTGTGGTTCATACCCCCCCCCCCCTTCCCTATATTTCACCGCAATGAGGAGATGCCAGAGAAAATCCTTCAGTAGAGTTTTGTTAATGATGTTGTTTGCTCATTTGCATATTTTATTTGAATTTTTAACAGTTTTCCGGCTTAAAACTGTGATGAGACATACATCAGTTGTATCAGTCATTTGTACCCACATTTACAGTAGCCTCATAAAAGTATAGAACCCTATATCTGACTCTGATGTAATTCTCGCCATTTGACAAATGAGGTTAGGATTTAAAAAAGAGTCTTCTAGTAAGTTTTAGCAAATGACACTGTAATTACAGCTAAAACTTAAGTATAAAAGATATACAACTTTACAGTATCGTCACGAGTGGCTGGTAAGTTTTTTCCCCTAAACTGAAGAGGCCATCAGGCAACAGATGCATAATTGTATACTACAAAATAATAACAACTGCATAATCATGTACCATCAAAGTAACAAATAAATTCCATGTTGCCAGTTGTCTGTTCAGTGATAGATTGCAGATGACATAAAAATGTGGTAAAAAAAAAAGTCCTTCATGGTCTGAGCAAATTTTTACAACAGTTGTATCTTCTCTGATCTGTTACTGAACAAGCATACAAATAATATGCGATCAATTTGAAAATGAAGCAAAATTTTGTCAAAAGCAATGTCATGTGTGTATGTCCTTCAATAGATCATATGTGAGAACCAGAAAACCCTTTAACTCCCAGAAGTGATTAACCTGTAACTTCTCCCTACAATATCCCTACAATATCCAGCAAACAGGTGTTGAGAATACTCAACCTTATCAGGTAGAAGTTGTTATCTTGATCTAACACCAAATTCTCAGAACTAATTTACAAGGAAATATGTAGCAGCTATAGGGGAGAATTAACAATCAGATCTTGGGAGTTTAAGGGTTAAGACATGTGTGCAACTAACCATGTTCATGTTAAATTATACTCACTTAGCATATTAACAACTATAAGGTAATTCATGGAATCCTGAGAGGCTTTCACAAAGCTAATGATCAGAGTAATCTGTTTAAACAAAGACATTTCTCTCATCAGTTCACAAGTAATGAGGTTTAAAACCAATTGTAGCAAAAGTTACAATGCAACTCATGAAGTGTGTAGGAGTATCACGCTCCACCCTGAACAGGATGCCAGTCTATCACAAGGTTCCAACCCCCCCCCCCTAAGAATCTTGTCACAATTCCTTGACATGTCACCAATTACCACTAACACTCCTACGTGGAGAGAGGCATTGTGTAGGTTAATCCTTTATTCCCTAAGATCAGTATGCATATTCTCCATACTACTCCATAGACATTTCCTGGGGTTCTGATGAGGAGAATTTGTTCAACAATCAAGAGCTTCTTTAGTTGGTGATCATTTCCTTTATTCTCATGACCTTAGTGTTTGATTTAGGAGAGATGTTCTGAGGAGAAATTAGATGTTGGTCACTTTTAGGGGTTAAAGGGTTAACTTCATTGCCCAAGAACACAATAAAATGTTCCACTTGTCTTCTTAAGGCTCAGTGAACATTTTTAAAGAATTTCAGAAACTTAAACTACTATGGTGCAATCAAAATCATAGTATACATACCACAACAGTTATTCCTGTGGACATAGCAAGAGCCCTTAACATTAACTTCTGCAAGTAGAGAGAAATTAAACATTTATTTGCTTTGCCACGTCAAGAGTAAAAAGATGACAGATGAAAATTTGTATTTTTTTCTTACGACTATGATATCATGCATAGTGAGTCACAATCGTGCATAATATCCCCACTGCAGAGCTTGTATTTAAGACAAGATCTTACAAGAACTGAATAAGCTACTCTGCTTACAAGTCACCCTCAAAAAAGGAGTTAACTGAATACAACCCCAACTGCCAAGATCCATGGCTGGTCTCTAGGGGGCTGATAAGAATAGACACATCCAACCTTAATTATTATGCATTCATATGTTTGATTTTCATTATTTGTCTGAGCATGAAGTCTAGTTTTGTACACTCCACTGAAAAGAATGCCACTATGAGACAGAGCCTGGACACTCCTTACAGTGTACAGCAAAGGGAGAGTGGAGGAGAGAGAGGGAAGGGGGTAGGGGGTGGGAAATGTGACCGAAAATCGAAAATTCTTGCATACAGGAAGTAAATTACGAGCCAGCTGGACTTATACATGTTTCTTCGTGTTAATACAACTAAAATCAAAATTTCATAGATTTGAGTAAAGTGCATCCGTTGGGAAGTCAAAGCAAAAAATGAGTAAGAGCAAGACTAAAACACAAAACGAGCGTGGAGAAAAAAATATCTCAGAGGGACTGCTTTGCTCAGCATCTTCTCTCATTGTAGGAAACGTCTTGCACGATGCACTAGAAGCTTTTAAACTGAAAGATCCCACACTGGTATAAGTTCAAAATCCAAACATAATCTTATAATACAATATAGCAGACCAATTAATTTCAGCATTCGTACCTTTAAAGGAGAAACCTCGTAGTACAAAGGCGCTGGTTTGTCGGGATCCATCTTGAGTAATGTCTGCGTGTTTGATCTGTCATCT